CTTGAGTAAAGGTTGAGGTGATATTATCAATAATTTTCCCATTAGTTTGAGGGAAAACGATGTTATTTCTATGGGTATAAGTCTCACATTCTTATCACTAGATGCTTAGTTATTGGGATTATATTTATCTTTATCCACATTTCTGGTATGATATTAGTTGAGAAGGATCGGTTAAAGATGTTCTTGAATAGATAACTTGGAACGTCGTAACATTTTTCACAAAGGAATTTCGGGATTTCATCATGTTCCAAACACTGGGACGAAATAAGTGACTGGCGACATTTTCGGACAGCAGTTTCAGTGAAAATCGGAACTCAACTATTCTTCAAACCTCTTCATATAGAAAGCATGACATGGGACGACTGATGTAAAAAAGACTTATTTAAGTCGCAAACATTCAGCTGTTTATCGCTTCTAATGTACCCGCCACCTGTAAGCTCCCCAAATACTTTCCACATACTTGAGGAGTTTTTACAAGATAGAATTTTTTCTGGGTCAACATAGAATTCAGAAGTCTAATCTCTAGTTTTATTAGACCACGTAGCCTTCAAACCTCAATAGAGTTTTTGTTCTTTTGTTCGCCGTAGTTGCAGTGAGAGAACAAATATCTAAACTGAATTTAATATAACAAGTGATAACATCAACGGTATCTTCCATTGAATCATCTGGACATGATTTCCAGCTAGTGTTACAAAACATGGTTTTCAGATTTTTGATATATTTTTCTGAGAGATTCCTGTATTTTATTATCTTTATTTTATGTAAGAGCTTACTCTTTCCAAGCTTGACATATACTTCGGGCAGAATACGAATTGTACAATGATCCAAACCAAAAATGAAGCACATCTACGGGTCTCGTATATTCCTGCACCACTGATGAAAACTATGTCTAAATGAGCATCCAAGCGAGTGGAAAGCGCAGTGTCAATATTATTTGTAGTGAAACAAGATTCACATGATAAGCATCGAATGAGAGTTTCAGTGCGCTTCCAGGTTTGTTGATCAAACTGTCTGCTCTGGTACATTGTTGCAACTTTATAGTTCAATTGTATAGTGTTTAGAGAATTAATAATACTCAATACGACTCTATAATCACTCACAAAAATCTCGTGACTGACGTGCAGTAAGATAGTCTATGCTGATTGTAGATAGTAAATCGAGTTCATTATTCCTCGTAGTTGGTTTTCCGACTGGTTGAATCCATCTATAAAGTTCTATTGCTTCAACTAACTTGTTATATCGACCTGGTACGGAAGTCGAACTACATTTAATGTTCGGCAGATTAAAATCACCTCCGATTACTTTAAACGTATGCGTATGCAATGAAAAATTTGTTTTATAGTAATCTGTTAAACTTAGTATCTGCATGAGGTGGTCTGTATTTACATCCCACCAGTAGATGATTTTGCGGTCCACAATTTACGGTAATCCAAGTGGGATCGTCTATGGTATTAAGAGATTCATTCTCAAATTTGCACGACTGAATGTCTGAACGGACATAGGCAATTGTATTGCCACCTATTTCATGACATCTATCGGTTTAAAAGAAAACGTAGTTATCCACATGCGAGGAGTGATCGGACATGGATGATTTGCGCTAGGTTTCCGTAATAAGCACAATGGTTAGATTTACAAGAAGTAAAAGGATTTTAAGGTTAGCAATTTTACTGGACAGAGAGCGGGCATTTAACGAAAGAATAAGAAGTTGAGAGCTATCATAGTGAAGCAGGTTAGAGTATAGATCACAATTGGTAGTTGCATGGATACTCATAGGATTGGCTAAGGTAAGAAATGTGTTATGAGGGAGGAGTAGATTCAACAACTTTATCATCATTTGTAATATATTTACCGTTGTCGAAAGAGAAGCAGGCTTAATTAAAACAAATGTCTCCTGATTGTTATTGCTTACATTATCTGATAGAGGTATAGTGTAAATATTGGGGGCCGGACAAATAAGGCTACAAGGCCTATTTGCGCAACCAAGTGGCCATTTACAATTCGAAATACGTTTTGTGCCTGACGCATGCGTAACATGTTCCCAAAGTTTTTTTCCACGTTTTGTGGTTTCCTTCAGCTCCTTCTTAATTTGCGGAGAATCGATTGTTGTTAGAAATACTTGTAATGATTTGCAAGGATCAAATATATCGTCAGTTATATAAGTGTTATCACTATTTTTCCCGTTATCCGTTGCACGGTTACCGTAACTGGGTGTTGCACTGATATGAATCTAGATTGTGTTATCCGATTCGTCATCAGCACAACTATTTAGAGTTAGATCTAAGTCAACATTCTTAGGAGGATGGACACTATCTAAACTGGAGTTGCTTTCTTCTGGGTTTTGAACTTTAAGAGATTCAGGAGAGTTTATTGGTGGCGGCATATCTGTAAAGTCAGGGGTTCTCTTGGAATCGGACTTAAAATTACGACATTTCGGACTATGATGCGCTTGGAAGTTTGATGCTAGCGGTCTGTAACCAGCTCTTCCTGCTTTTCGCTGGCATGGTGTTCAGTCTAGGAGAATCCTAATGTCTTTGAAAATCTGTTTTGCAAAATAGAACATAAAGGTGCACATAGTGTAAATTTTAACACATATATTGCACGAAAAGATAGCCCTATATAACAAAGTAATTCAGAACTGTCGATAATTAGTATCAAACAATCAAAGTGGATACGGTATATGGTACATATATAAACTGAGAGACTTAATGTTTTGACTAAGTAGGAACTGAAGATAGTCCACCTTGTTAATTAGTGATAGACAGTTAGAATTTAGCGGCTAGTGAATCGACGTATTGTTAATGTTCATTCTCTTCAACATATATTGCCAGCCACCACGACGTTTGTTATTGTACTTTTTTGTAACCTGTGCAGTAAAAGGTAGTAGGCTTTACATAGACGCGCACGTACATGTTATGTGATTAATAGACATGATGAGATGTTAAAACAAAATAAAAACCAGATAATATGTTAAAATACTTGGACGGCAGGAAGAGGTAACCCATGTATTTAAGCAGGCTGACGATATGTTACAGTTTAAATTACTTAATGATGGATTGGTACCTGATATGGCGTTGTTTTCCAAATCACGTGGTTTACGAGGACGCTCTGGAAAAGCTCAGGGGTCCAGAACAAAAATAATTATCATCTGACTATTGACTTTCCCATCAAATCATCAATGAATTTCATTCGTTGACTCAACACGTGATTGATGCTCTATCGGTCAACGCTTATAAAAGTAAGGCGGATCAACTTGAAGACCAATATTTCCAGGACCAATACAAGCCACCGAGTACCCTGTACTTCCCAAACTGAGACCCAAGGTTAATTCAGGGATTTATGCACCCCATGGATAATTTTTGGTGTGTGCCTCATCCAGTATACGTCCATGTATCTAAGTGATCGCAATGGATGCTTATCCAAGACACTCTGGTCAGTCATGTATAATAATACATGTTACGTCCCATCAATCTAATCAACGGAATTTCACTTTTCAAATACTTTCCATATTCGATATCTTAACAATGCACACCCTCAGATTACCTCCGTAATCACAAGGCTGACAAAGTACTATGTGATGTATGGAATCACAGTAAAGCACACGTAAATTTGCAGTTGCAGTGATAACACAATTGTTAAAGTATTCGACTCTCAGCAAGCACTTGCAAAATAAATCACTGCTAAAGTCAGCTACTTTTGATCATGCTTTCACTAGCAAACTGACTAAACGTAAGCAAGCTATATTGTTTTCATGAAAGCTGTTCGTATTTTATTCCACCGTCTGTTGTAAGTTGATCTATGACAACCAAGGGCGCTTGACAAGTTCGCAGTTGCCCTACGTCTACGATCTCTCTTTAACTGAATTCACTTTACAGGACAAACAAAGTAATTAGTGAAAATGAACATAGGAAACAGAGAGCACGTCACTCACTTGCATCTCGCAAGCTATTTGTGATAGCCACCAAGCATGCCGGGACACATTAGGTAAACAAACAACAAGGTACGGACATATACATATAAGGGAAATCCCTGTGATTGCATTTTCTTACTTGTGTTGACGATAATTGTCTTCCTTTTTAATAAACAGCATGTTATGTTGTAGAGGTTTATGGAAATGTAAGTAAATGTTGCGGTATATTTAAACACGGCACGTTACGTTATCAGACAGTGTTGCTGGACTCAATCCAAATCTAAAAGTGTTTTGATTTGACCGCCTCTGCAAAACCTTACAAATTGTCGAGGTGACGCACCGATCGTTTTGTGGCGGCATGACCTTCAGGTGCTCAGTGGCCTCCGTCAGTTGCCGATACCCCTGCTGCGTTGCCCATGTATTTGTCTACAGATTTCCCCCAAATACACGATGTGAAGGGGAAAAATTAATTTTTCCATTTTATTTACTCTTTTGTCCGCTTTATTTCCCCCTTGTTCCACTTTATTAGTTGCTTAGGGCTCAAACAACTCGTCTCCTACTTCGATCTGTCCAACCGTAAGTGATTTGTGGGGTCTCTCATCTTGCTGATACTTTAACTATGAAACCCCATAAACCTTCGAGATGTTTCGTTGAGCATGTACATTTCGAAAAAGCTGTCACAATACATATCTTCAATGTAGGATCGTCCCGGATAATGTACGAAATGGGAGATCTCCCATTCTATTCTATATTCTATATTGTCTCACTAAAATTATTTTCCTAAAATTTTAAGGAAAGATGTTTACTTCGCGAAAATACTTAATTTTAAACTCACGCCAAGTTATATTTTTCCTACGAAATAATATTTTCCATCAATTTTGACATGCCCTATTAGTTTCTGATATTCTTGGTTACTCAAAGCGACCCAGTTTCGTCCTGTAGTCTTACTGTCGACAACTTTCCTGATAAAATGAGGGAAAAAGTTCTATATTTTACAGTGTAGCGGTTTTGTTTCAATAATTGCACCGACATATAGCACTTAAAAAATAATTCCCAGCCACTGATAATGTTTTTATGCGTTTTTAAAATTTCAGGTTTTGAAAACTTCCATATGGCTGAGCTTTTGGAAAGGTTTTCCAATCCATTGAGCAAAGCTGAACAAGCAGTTAAGAATGACTGTCCTGACAAACTGCGAGATGTATTAAAAAACGAAAGGACTGCGTTTACAAGTGATTTAGTAACAGAGAAAAGTCTTGTTAATCATCAAATACGTGAGAACCTACTTCATGTATGCCCATGCACGTTTTTGGCGTAATGTATATATCTCTACTTTTGTCAAAAAAACGCATGCTATATTTTTGTTACGTTGATTTAACTATTTCATTTAACCGTTAATCTAGGTGATATGTTATTTGATCATTTCGATTAGTGTAAGTTCAACCGTTTTAATTACCAGAAGCTAATTTTAGCTTTGCATATGTGAGTCTGCACTTGGATATAGCTACCGCAAGCACATAGGTTACGTACCTATTAAACCTGCTCGGGAGATAAACTGACTGTTTATGATTCTTTTGGTTAGTGAGATAGATCATAATCTAAGAAATGGTAATGTAACTCGTTAGTCGATATGTTCCACTTCAGGCCATACTTTCTTGTGGTGGAGCAAGTGACATTACTGGGCTACTCAAACCGAGGTAGATGGGACGAGGTTCAAACCTAGAACCCACAGGTTGGGGGTCGGGTGTTTTAGACATTGCTCCATAGTTGACAACTTGGGGATCGATGAGATGTGTTCACTTTTACTGTGGTTTTTCAGATTCGATGGTTGGGTGTCTTTATGTTTCTGTGCGCCATTATTTTGTATCCAAGCCCACTCGTCCGTTAAGTATGTTGAGTCGTATTTCACTAGCTTCTTCAGCCTACTATGCTGGCTGAATTCGGATGGTTCAGGCAAATTCTTCAGTTGGTCGGACAAAAACAACTATTCTAACATGTCATTGTGGAAAACTCTTGACTTTCGTTCGCTTTATGAGATATTTGAGTGTAACTGATCAGACTGAAAATCATCCGGTGGCTCAGATGCATTTTTTCTGTGCATTGTGATAAGGAATAAATACTGTGTTGTTCTACATCTGCGTTCTTTCGTATCGACAGTATTTTCCCGAGGTTGTTCAGCATCACCAACTTTTATTTCCAATACTAACCACTAAGTCACAGGTAGGACCACAGTTACACTTTGAAATTAATGAAATTTTTTAATTCCTGTGATGGGCTATGAATTTCACAGATAAGTCGTCATCGCAAAGTTTTGAAATGTTAGTTCTAGATACTGATTGACCCGTCTACATCATTTTCCTCAGTCATTTATGCGCAACGTAGCACCTTACACATGCGTTGGTCCAATTTTCAACACCACACTAGCACAGAGAGATGAAGTTCCTAAAACGAGTCCCGTAGTTGTAAAAGTAGTAACAGTATTAGTGGTAGCCACATTTCACACAGCACAATATTCTATTATTGTGCTATTTCACAGTATTATCACGACTGGTTCACTATGTTATCTACTTTTACTTATTGGTGATATTAACATCCACTAAGTTTGCTAGTTTGTGTATTAGTAACCAAGTTATCAGGTAAGTCCTAGTTATGCTTTTTTGCATCGAAATTCTTCTGATTAGTCAGCGACAGCAAAATGTCCGAAAAACTGTTATTTATTTTATTGCTATTAAATCCACCTTTTTGTTGGAATTCAGAATCCCCTAACTCTCTTGGTCATACTCCATTAGATTTAGCTATGAAGCGACATTACTTGCCTGTTGTTTATCTCCTTGCGTCACATTCAGATTCTCCTTATTCTTACAAAAAACATCCCTTTTCTGTTGAGCTTCTGTTGATTGAGACTACAAGTGACCTTAAGAAGCAGGTGCAATTTTATAAGCTCACACAGGCTTAAAATATCTGAATCCCATAAGTGAACTAAATGATTTTGATTTAGTCACAAATCAGCCTTGTGGTTATTAAACATTTCATGCAATTGGTTCCCTTTATGAATTTAAATAAAGCAAGAACAAATATTGATGCAGAATAGTATGAATTCATATTATTTCGAGGTTTCTCGTCAGCTGCTTACAAACCAAAAAATGTGATAGAATTTTTACATTGAGATAGAGTGAAAACAAATGACACTCATCTATGTCATTTGTTTTCACTCTATCTCAATGTAAAAATTCTATCACATTTTTTGGTTTGTAAGCAGCTGACGAGAAACCTCGAAATAATATGAATTCATACTATTCTGCATCAATATTTGTTCTTGCTTTATCAAACATTTATCGAATAATGAGCTTCAAATAATCATTTCCTCAGTAAATGTGGATGGTCTCCTTTTTACTTCAGGTAAAACAAGGGAATCTAAAACAGGTTAATAATAAAGAATTCTCCCCCAAAAGGTCACAACTGGAGACGTATCAAATAAATGTCATGTATGTACTAAAATATTTTAACATTCATACTTATTGAAATTTGTACATCTTACATATGAATAAAAAATTATTTACTTTATTGCATTGGACATTTTAGTTTGCTGTTCACCAGTCAGCCAGTCGGTGTATTAATCTGCTCTTAAATCCACCTTTTTGTTGGAATTCAGAATCCCCTAACTCTCTTGGTCATACTCCATTAGATTTAGCTATGAGGCGACGTTACTTGCCTGTTGTTTATCTCCTTGCGTCACATTCAGATTCTCCTTATTCTTACAAGAAACATCCCTTTTCTGTTGAGCTTCTGTTGATTGAGCCCTGTTCTATTGAATTGATATCAGGAGCATTAAACGCTGTAAGTCATTTATTTCAGATAATGAAGGGTATGTTTGCGACAATTTTATTTTGAAGTGAAGGCTAGGAATCTTTTGATAATTTAGAAGTAGGGACATTAGAAATAAAAAATAGTTCACAAAATCAAACCACTACCAATTTTTCATTGTTACTATGTTCCATGCATAGTCGCAATATGACAGGAATGGTAAAGACAACGTATTTGTAATATTCCACTGGGTAGTAAATAAAGTTTCTGATGTTTTACAACTCATTGTATGACACTTCTTCAGTGAATAAATAAATAAACCAAACAAATCAACACAGGTGTAAATAGTATAAAGGGATTAAGCAAACGTATTTAGTATGATCAAAACCGGGTCTGATTAAGTCAATGTCATATCACTTCGGTCAAGATGATTATTGTCAGACGTACTTGTATATTTGTGTGTATGTTAATGGATGTGAAAATGTGATATTTGTAGTGTGAAAAAGTAGAGTTGAATTCGTATGTGTAATTATGGTGTGAAATGTGAATAGAATTCTATCCAAGTTGGATGAATGGTGAGGCCTTCTTTTCCACTGAAGGCAGTGGGGTTTAGCAATATATGATCAGCTTCACCTATCATCTTCCTTTGTAGTTGGGAGAGCCTCTTTGAATTGCTTTGATATTTGAGTATTGGCTTGATGGTCATCGAAGATGGCATGCAATACGATTGCCTATCTAATTTGGAGTTTTCAAAGTTCTACAGTATCATTAGGTGGTTCTTTTTGTAGCTTCGATGTTATTTGGCGTGTGTTAAGATTTCGTGAGATGACTCTCCCGTATAGAAGGCATCATAACTGATACAAACTAATGTGTAGAAACAGTTCTGTGTTGGCGTAAATGGAATTTCGTTCTTTATACAAACTAACAGTCCTCAGCTGACACCACATCGTTCTAATCCATAGGAAAATTTTTATCCCAAAATAATTCATAAACTACATTTCAAACAATTTAAGATCGTATATATGTTTTTTACATGTAATATTACTGTTTGTAACAACCTGATCATTCCTTTTAATCGGAATGCATTTCGTAGTTAATTCCAGAATAAAATTCATTTATTTAATGCACGTCGAATTGTTGGTTGTTTCGTAATGTACTTCATTTATGTGTAGTTTTAAGATTCTTTTGGGACCTGCTGTACCATGATGGTGTGATAGAAACACAGCACCAACCCATGGTAGTTCATCCGAATTATTACTCAACAATAGATCGTTCCGTTTTAGTGTGTTTTAATAATATTCATAGGAAGACTAGTAAATTATGCGATGTTAATTATAGCCTACTGTTCCTTTTGTTTGTCCTCTTTAGGTGTAATTATGTCGTTCTCTCTTCTACAGAGCTTTATGCACAGAATAAATGTGTCGCATTGAAGCGTAGTGGTTCATGATAGATAGCTAGATTTAGAGTTCCACTTGGGTCTATTTTGGCTAAACAATCTGAAAATGAATGCTCAACGTGTTTATTTTGATTTCCGAAAGTGAATTTGATATTGGATCAGTGTGTACTAATCATTTCAGAGAAAGTTCTTAGGAACGTCTTTTTGTTGATGACAAAAGTATCGTCAACATATCTGAGCTAAATTTGTGGTCTAATGTCGTTAACGAAGATGTTTGATTCTATGTGGCTACAAGTGGAAACAAATGAGTTCCCATTACCACATTGTTTGTGTAATGTCACGTCAAGGGTGAACGAGGTTGAATCCAAGCATATTTTTAGAGATTTTATGAAACTACTACTTTTAATATTTTATTGAGCATGATTATTTGAATTCACAGAAATAATGACATGCCAATAAATACGAAAAGATCATAGAAAGATAGTGGCTTACACTATTTATTTATTTATTTGAACGCATGAATATTGGTACAAGATAGCGCCAATATATATGCGCCACACAAAATGAGAATTCGAAGAGAAATAGAAAAAAAAGCTAAGGACCGCAAAAAAAGAGAACAATAACGAGGAGATTGGTGTAAGGTAGTATGGTAGAAATGAGGGAACGCGAAGGTACAATCAGAAGAAATCTTTCAGGTAAGGGAGACAGAACCACTCTTTATGAAGAAAGCAAAAGAAGGTTACAGCAGGATCGCCACTGGCTTCTATTCTGAGCCATATCTGATAACGTCTCTAGCCACTGTTGCACCATCTCTCCGGCCCCAGCCAGGGAGTCGTGAAGGACCAACAGAAGCCAGTCCTTTACAGCTTTCTTTCATCCCAAGATACCATGTCATATACTGACCAACTCTCCGCTTTTTCCAACCAGTCCCAGAGTCAGCAAATAATGCACGACGTGGAATTCTCTGGGACGACATTCGTAAAACATGTCCAAGCCACCGAAGTCGGTGTTTCAAGATGGTGACACCGATTGCATTATCGTCTCTGCGCCCGAACACACGATGCCGAACCTCTGCATTACTGACATGGTGTTGCCACCGAATGTCAGCAATCCTTCGGAGACAGCGATGATCGAACACAGAGAGTCGTCTAACGTCCTCGACTCGGAGAGGCCAGGTTTCACAAGCATAGAGCAAAACTGCTCTCACCGGCGCGTTGTAGATCCGACCTTTTACAGCCAGACTAACATCATGAAGGCGCCAAAGGTGGCCCAGATTGGCATAAGCCGCTCTGGCTTTCACTATACGTGCATTAATCTCATCACTCACACCCCCACCAGCACTTATGCAGCTACCCAGATACACGAACTTCTCGACTACGTCTATCTGCTCACCATCCAGGGTGAGTACAGGATTAGAATCCTGCCAGTCTTGTAGAAGTACTTTGCATTTCGAAGGTGCAAGGCACATACCGTACCTACGGACATTGATTGCTAACTAATTAAGTGCGGATTGCATGCCTTGGACATTATCGTACAGTAGGACAATGTCATCCGCATACTCAAGGTCGAAAAGTCTTTCTCCAGGCAACAGATCCACACCACCATTACTTACATCCATCAGAGCTGTTTCCAGAATGTCATCGATGGCAAAGTTGAAGAGGAATGGTGAGATTGGGCAACCCTGCCTAACCCCACTGCTCGAATGGAACAATGGAGAGAGGTGGTTGTATGCCCTCACTCTACCTAAGGTGTTTGTATATAGGGCTTCTAGGATGTTAATAAACTTCTCAGGCACACCCTTCTTCAATAGACAATCCCAGAGAACAGTCCTGTACAACGAATCGAAGGCAGCCCTGATGTCAAGAAACACTACGATTATTGACCTTTGATAAGTATGGCGGTGTTCTAACATTTGGCGGAGGGTGAAGATATGATCAATACATCCTCGACCAGAACGAAACCCAGCCTGCTCCTCGCGAGTCAATGTTTCTCGGGTTTTGAACAACCTACGAAGTATGACGGAAGCCAATAGCTTGGACGCAATCGGAAGTAGACTTATCCCCTGATAGTTGTTACAGGAACGACGTGAACCGTTTTTAAAGATAGGGACAACTATCGACTCATTCCCTGACGTTGGTACACTCTCTAGTTCCCAAACCTTTGTAAACAACGTCGTCAATTCCTTAGTCAAAAAGTCACCACCATCTTTAAAAAGAGCCGGAGGTAAGTCATCTGGGCCAGGTGATTTGTAACGCTTCAAGAGTTGGAGTTCCTTGCGGACTTCCTCCTCATTTGGTGGATCAGTCGTCACCGGCCATGGAGGGCAGGACAGTCTGACCGATGTTGCCGGAGCAGCAGGCCAGTTGAACTGCCCTTCGAAAAATTCTGCCCATCGTCCAAGACGTCGATGGGTGTTAGTGATTGGCATCCCATCATCGGCGATGACTGTGTCGAAAGTTAGTGCTAGCCAGAAACAGGTTGTAGTCTGTGCAAAGTTGCAGTAGACGGTCCCCGTTATCTGACCTGCGACCAACGAGTCCCCATCGGCCACCTGAACGACTCTCTTCTGTGCCTAGACGCCCGACCTGAGCATTCAAGTCTCCGGCTAGTACTACAATATCTGTCGAACGCACTTTCTGAAGAAGAACAGATAACTGGTGGTAAAACTCATCCTTGATTGCATCCGAGCTGCAATCTGTCGGGGCATAGGCGGAGATGACGAAAAGACATCGTTTCTCACGCCGATTTCTTCTCACTTTGATGGAACTTTCTAATCTAACAGCACATAACCGACTGTTAATGGGGATCCAATCGATTAGTGCTACCTTAGCTCTAGCGCTCAGTGCGACACCAACGCCAGCAAGACCAGGCGAAGATGCCACAGGGTCCCCGAATAAGCGCACGTAAAACAAGCTTTTTGAAGTGACAGATGGAGAGCGAATTTGTAGTACTTCACCAGAGTCTTGAATACGGGTCTCGGATAGACAGCAAACATCAATATTAAGACTTTCCAAAGACATAGCCAGCCCTATCTGTTGTCCGACCTGCATAAGTGTGCGAACGTTGAAGGCAGCCAGTTTGAACGGTGCACGTGGTTTCAGAAAAACTGCTTCAGTACTCATATTCGGTGGTAACATACAATTTTCAACCGGACAGTGACTCGAGAACGTTTAGATACAGTCGAATTTCCACCAAAGACGAGCCGCTGTATAAGTATAAAAGAGGGTGAATAATGTGGATAGAAATAATAATAATAATAATAACAATAACAATAATAATAATAATAATGACAATAATAGTAATAATAATAATAATAGTACTAATAATGACAATAATTGTAATGATAATAATTTGAATCAGTTGATTGTTTTTCGAAGCGAGAAAAGTAATTTCCATAGACATAGAGAGTTCATCATTTGTGTGCGGGCTGTGATACTGCCCGGGTGCCCAAACCGAAGCAGGTGGTTATCTTAGGGGGCCACTCCCCGAGCCTTTGACCTAAAGGTCTAACCCACAAGGCAATAGAGCATCGTAAGGAGATGCAGTCTCATGGTGGCCGGTGACCAAGGAATTGGTTCATACGCCATTTGTTCCCACAGGATACTGGAGCCCATGTGCACCATTGGTTTGTGATCCGGTTAAAGCGCCGGACACTCGCTTTTCGTCCTCTCATTTTCGTAAACAACACCCCGGCCACGAGAAGGCAATGAGTGGGACTTCCCTGGCAGAGGCTGTATACGCGCGGCCGTGTGAGAGTATTTTGAGAGGGAGAGCGGACTCTCCCCACTCTCGGCCGTACCAGGGCACTAAACCACCAGACGCTGGAAAATCTATTCCCTACTCATTTAGATATTACAAGTTTATCATTAACAATCTACTCAATGCTCTTTTTTCTAAATGATCAAGTCAGACCTTAGTACTAATATCTATGTGACAAAGAAATGTAAAAGTAGTATCACTTATTTATAATTGGTGTAATAAATTTACCAGTCGTTTAATTGATTTATTTATGACATGTGATGGTTAGATCTGTTGGTTGTAGGTGGTTTAATTAATTCAGAGGGACACAATCACTTTTTGGATCCATGAGTCGTTAATGGACTCGTTACAAATTACGGTGACCGTCTACTGCAACTGTGCTTAGATCACAACCTGTGTCTGGCTAGCAATAAATACCGGCACAGTCATCGCCGGTGTACTACCTGGCGTCCTCCTTCTGAACTCAGACTGATCACATCGCAATCAGCTACCACTGGTGTGGTTGTGTACAAGACTGCCGCTCCTTTTGAAGTACCTACCTGGACTCTGATCATGCCCTTGTTTGCACTTGTCTTATCTCACGTTTCAGTGGCCAACAAATTCATCGCGCTGAACGGATTCATGTAAGCGAATTGGTTTCAGCTTCTGTTGCAACTAAATATCAAACAGAGCTAGGTTCTAGGCTAACTGCCAGCCCATCGAAAAGTGTAGATAAGCAGCGGTTACAAATGCGTGACATCATGGAAATGGCGAGTAAAGTCACCCGAAGCTTCGTGAAACGTCCCGCTTATAAGCACTGGGTTTCTTCGGGCTCCTTACAACTCATTGATGCTCGTTGGTCTACTCTGAGTGACTGCGGGTTCGACCACAGACGAAAACTGCTACGTAGTGAAATTATCCAAAGCTTGTATGAGGACCTCGAAGCCAGGTGGTCGGGGCGTGCCAATGAGTTGGAAACAGCAGCTACATCTGGTAACTGCCGGAGGCTCTTTCAACTCACTCGGGTCACTGGCAGCAAGACGTCTGGTGCGAGTGAAACAATCTGTGAGGGTGACGGAGTGCCAGTCACTGACATCTATCAATGTCTTGGACGACGGACAGAGTACCAATATTTATGTGTTCAAATAAATAAATAAAAATAAAAGATGGATATGCTCAACGTTGTATTTCTAAATTAGATGTTTTTTATAGATTACTGTATCTGTTCTGCTTATCAGTTTATATAGAGCGGTGTATGTTATCGTCGTTTCAAAAAACAAATCTATATCGTGATTATCAACTAACTATAATGACTAATTTCTATCCTTTAAACATAAACTGCAACATGATTCTTAAATACTGTCCTAGGCATCACAACTAGATATGGCGATTTTAGGGAGATTTTAGTTTGTTAGGACCTACGTTTTAAGCGCTGTGTGAAGGGAAGTAGTCAGTCGATAACAGTTTGGGTGTATGCTGTCTAATCTTTGCTCCATCAAATTTTATCGGCCAGACGATGTCAGTAATTTGGATGATGAAGTATGATGTTGCTCTATGTTCTTTGGAATCAGTTAGCCGGCGTGCTTTATAGGTTTCAGTATATACTTGGAATGAGGTTACAAAATGACACGTAGATTATAGTAAACCTCGCTGATATATTAAGGTTTGTTTTTTGTCGTTAAGTGTACAAGTTCGTATAAACAGGCGTCACTCGACATTTTAGTTACAAAGCTTGCCACTGAGAATTTTTGAAGTGGTCATTCTATAAACTGGTGATTAAACCATATTTTTATTTAAACACAAGTTGTCACTCCCCTTAGTATCTTTTAGTCCGTTAAGATTCAAGTCTGTCAAAAGAATGTGACCATGAAAAACTGGTTGCGAAAACAACACATGTATTTCTGGTCAACCCAAAAACATTAATTGATGGTGGTTTGTACAGACGATTCAAAGATGCTAATCGTGCCCTTAAGCGAGTAAGCTTTGTTTTGTTGATTGTAAACCCTAAATTCTCATTGAACCGGCATTATCTGATATGATTTTTGTTCACAGAAACCTTTATCTTTCTAATTTCAGAACTATGATTCTCAAAACTCTGACTTAGCGTGGTTATTTGGTTCATGTATGTATGGTGAAAATATCCGATGTACGGCTGGAAATATCATCTTATTATTTGAACTACTACTGTCAGGACCTGTTTGCCCACTTAATACTGCTCTTTGGTTAGCTCTTGGACGGGTTTCCTTAGTGAATTCTCATAATATTTCTTGTACATCTTATCCAAATTGTTTGTTTAATAACGACATTAACATTTGGAATACCAGTTGGCATGATTTATTTATCGCCTGGGCATCGCATCGATCACTTACAGGGAGCCAGTCTAATGAATGTGATCAGCAACACGTTCTTTCTTTCGGTCCTTTAAGTCTTATGGATTTTTGTCGAGTTACAATCAGGAGACATGTTTTAGCTGTCATAGGTAAGCTGCATCAATAGGTGCGTGTTGAAAATGTGTTGACCGAGAGATTGGTGGTTCATTTTCATGAATTACGTTTCTAATTACCGTTGTCTCTGAATGAGCTCATAAAGATGGACATTAAGATTCAGACGAATAATAAACAGAACACAATTGTACTACGTTGTTTGATTTTATGTATTTTCGTGTTTTGATGTTATCTACTTACGTTTCCCTGTTTCCAATAATCTCAGGGATATCTAGAGTCACTGTAAATTCACTTTTTCGTCAAGTCCTACACACTGCCTTCTCGTGGCCGGGGTGTTGTTTACGAAAATGAGAGGACGAAAAGCGAGTGTCCGGCGCTTTAACCGGATCACAAACCAATGGTGCACATGGGCTCCAGTATCCTGTGGGAACAAATGGCGTATGAACCAATTCCTTGGTCACCGGCTACCATGAGACTGCATCTCCTTACGATGCTCTATTGCCTTGTGGGTTAGACCTTTAGGTCAAAGGCTCGGGGAGTGGCCCCCTAAGATAACCACCTGCTTCGGTTTGGGCACCCGGGCAGTATCACAGCCCGCACACAAATGATGAACTCTCTATGTCTATGGAAATTACTTTTCTCGCTTCGAAAAACAATCAACTGATTCAAATTATTATCATTACAATTATTGTCATTATTAGTACTATTATTATTATTATTGCTATTATTGTCATTATTATTATTATTATTGTTATTGTTATTATTATTATTATTATTTCTATCCACATTATTCACCCTCTTTTATACTTATACAGCGGCTCGTCTTTGGTGGAAATTCGACTGTATCTAAACGTTCTCGAGTCACTGTCCGGTTGAAAATTGTATGTTACCACCGAATATGAGTACTGAAGCAGTTTTTCTGAAACCACGTGCACCGTTCAAACTGGCTGCCTTCAACGTTCGCACACTTATGCAGGTCGGACAACAGATAGGGCTGGCTATGTCTTTGGAAAGTCTTAATATTGATGTTTGCTGTCTATCCGAGACCCGTATTCAAGACTCTGGTGAAGTACTACAAATTCGCTCTCCATCTGTCACTTCAAAAAGCTTGTTTTACGTGCGCTTATTCGGGGACCCTGTGGCATCTTCGCCTGGTCTTGCTGGCGTTGGTGTCGCACTGAGCGCTAGAGCTAAGGTAGCACTAATCGATTGGATCCCCATTAACAGTCGGTTATGTGCTGTTAGATTAGAAAGTTCCATCAAAGTGAGAAGAAATCGGCGTGAGAAACGATGTCTTTTCGTCATCTCCGCCTATGCCCCGACAGATTGCAGCTCGGATGCAATCAAGGATGAGTTTTACCACCAGTTATCTGTTCTTCTTCAGAAAGTGCGTTCGACAGATATTGTAGTACTAGCCGGAGACTTGAATGCTCAGGTCGGGCGTCTAGGCACAGAAGAGAGTCGTTTAGGTGGCCGATGGGGACTCGTTGGTCGCAGGTCAGATAACGGGGACCGTCTACTGCAACTTTGCACAGACTACAACCTGTTTCTGGCTAGCACTAACTTTCGACACAGTCATCGCCGATGTGCCACCTGGCGTCCCCCTTCTGCATCTCAAGCCTGGACTCAGATTGGTCACATCGCGATCAGCTACCACTGGCGTGGTTGTGTACAACACTGACGCTCCTTTTGGAGTACTACCTAGACTCTGACCATGCCTTGGTCTACGCCAATCTTGCCTTACTTTTCAGTGGCCAACGAAGTGACCGCCATCAACGGATTGATGTTAGCAAGCTGGTTGCAACTTCTGTTGCAAGTAAGTATCGAACCGAGCTAGCCTCTAGGCTAGCTACCACTCCACCGAAAAGTATAGATGAGCATTGGTTGCAATTGCATGACACCATGAAAATGGCGGGTACAGTCAGTTGTGGGTTCGCGAAACGTCCCGCTTATAAGCACTGGGTTTCTGCAGGTTCCTTACAACTCACTGAAGCCCGTCGGTCTACTCCGGGTGACCGTGAGTTTGACCATAAACGAAGGATGTTACGTAAGGAAATTGGGCAAAGCTTGCGTAAGGACCGAGAAGCCTGGTGGTTGGAGCGTGCTAATAAGCTGGAAGCAGCAGCTGCATCTGGTAACTACCGGAAGCTCTTCCAACTCATCCGAGCCACTGGCAACAAGAAGTCTGGTGTGAGTGAAACAATCTGCGAGGATGATGGGATGCCAATCACTAACACCCATCGACGTCTTGGACGATGGGCAGAATTTTTCGAAGGGCAGTTCAACTGGCCTGCTGCTCCGGCAACATCGGTCAGACTGTCCTGCCCTCCATGGCCGGTGACGACTGATCCACCAAATGAGGAGGAAGTCCGCAAGGAACTCCAACTCTTGAAGCGTTACAAATCACCTGGCCCAGATGACTTACCTCCGGCTCTTTTTAAAGATGGTGGTGACTTTTTGACTAAGGAATTGACGACGTTGTTTACAAAGGTTTGGGAACTAGAGAGTGTACCAACGTCAGGGAATGAGTCGATAGTTGTCCCTATCTTTAAAAACGGTTCACGTCGTTCCTGTAACAACTATCAGGGGATAAGTCTACTTCCGATTGCGTCCAAGCTATTGGCTTCCGTCATACTTCGTAGGTTGTTCAAAACCCGAGAAACATTGACTCGCGAGGAGCAGGCTGGGTTTCGTTCTGGTCGAGGATGTATTGATCATATCTTCACCCTCCGCCAAATGTTAGAACACCGCCATACTTATCAAAGGTCAATAATCGTAGTGTTTCTTGACATCAGGGCTGCCTTCGATTCGTTGTACAGGACTGTTCTCTGGGATTGTCTATTGAAGAAGGGTGTGCCTGAGAAGTTTATTAACATCCTAGAAGCCCTATATACAAACACCTTAGGTAGAGTGAGGGCATACAACCACCTCTCTCCATTGTTCCATTCGAGCAGTGGGGTTAGGCAGGGTTGCCCAATCTCACCATTCCTCTTCAACTTTGCCATCGATGACATTCTGGAAACAGCTCTGATGGATGTAAGTAATGGTGGTGTGGATCTGTTGCCTGGAGAAAGACTTTTCGACCTTGAGTATGCGGATGACATTGTCCTACTGTACGATAATGTCCAAGGCATGCAATCCGCACTTAATTAGTTAGCAATCAATGTCCGTAGGTACGGTATGTGCCTTGCACCTTCGAAATGCAAAGTACTTCTACAAGACTGGCAGGATTCTAATCCTGTACTCACCCTGGATGGTGAGCAGATAGACGTAGTCGAGAAGTTCGTGTATCTGGGTAGCTGCATAAGTGCTGGTGGGGGTGTGAGTGATGAGATTAATGCACGTATAGTGAAAGCCAGAGCGGCTTATGCCAATCTGGGCCACCTTTGGCGCCTTCATGATGTTAGTCTGGCTGTAAAAGGTCGGATCTACAACGCGCCGGTGAGAGCAGTTTTGCTCTATGCTTGTGAAACCTGGCCTCTCCGAGTCGAGGACGTTAGACGACTCTCTGTGTTCGATCATCGCTGTCTCCGAAGGATTGCTGACATTCGGTGGCAACACCATGTCAGTAATGCAGAGGTTCGGCATCGTGTGTTCGGGCGCAGAGACGATAATGCAATCGGTGTCACCATCTTGAAACACCGACTTCGGTGACTTGGACATGTACTACAAATGTCGTCCCAGAGAATTCCAAGTCGTGCATTATTTGCTGACTCTGGGACTGGTTGGAAAAAGCGGAGAGTTGGTCAGTATATGACATGGTATCTTGGGATGAAAGAAAGCTGTAAAGGACTGGCTTCTGTTGGTCCTTCACGACTCCCTGGCTGGGGCCGGAGAGATGGTGCAACAGTGGCTAGAGACGTTATCAGATATGGCTCAGAATAGAAGCCAGTGGCGATCCTGCTGTAACCTTCTTTTGCTTTCTTCATAAAGAGTGGTTCTGTCTCCCTTACCTGAAAGATTTCTTCTGATTGTACCTTTCCGTTCCCCCAATATTACCACTATTATTATTACACTACGTTACACCAATCTCTTCCTTATTGTTCTTTTTTACCCTCCCTACCTTTTTCTTTTTCCTTCTCTTTAAATTCTCATTGTTTTGTGTGGCGCATATATATTTGGCGCACTTTTGTACCAATATCTATGTGTTCAAATAAAATAATAATACAAGTTGTTTTATGCCGTAATATGTTCCTATATTTATTTATATTAAAGTTGTCAGTTACAGTAAGATATATCACAAGTTAAGGATAAGGTTGTATGTTCCTTATTTCTATGAGATATAGTCAATAAACAATCAAAGATTATATCATTATTCTTAGCGTATGAAGGCAATAGGCTGAAAGAAGGTATATTTGTTGTGAGAAGTTACAAAGCATTTACATAATACATATACATAGCTTTCAATCGTCCATTTGCATCTTGGTGTATTCTGCCATCTGAACTGACTTCTCGAGTGGTCTCTGAGTGTTCTGCCATCGCTGTGCTTTCGATCTAATGAAACTGTTCACTCTGTCTGACAGTCGTTGCAACTTCAATACCACTTCAGCTACATATTACTTACAAGCAACCCCGTGATTAGCGTCCACTACACTGGTATAACAGGAAGTCTTTTTAACTGGATAAACAAAATTCACATTTTGACCAAAACATACTACTTTTCCCGTTTCTGTATTGAAAAGGTATCATGAGGATTAAAAAATTTCTTACGCAGTTGGTCACTCTAGCAGTCCTTACTCTTGACCGAAATGCATTACCTTTGTGCATCAGAATAAATAGTGTCTTACAAAACCAGCTATTAGGAGGTAAGCTTTTTAATAATGTTTTTAATGGAAATATGCATGAATGAAGACAAATTAAAAACAGTGCTAAGTTTTTCCTAAAACGTGCTCATGATCATGGAAAAAACCTCACTGATACCCTTAAGTTTATAGATCGTTTGAATCGAGAGGGTTGGTTGCTGAATTTGAATTCAGAGATACCAAATAGGATAATCTGTTAAAAAATTCCCTGGTTTTTATAATTTATGTACATCTAAAGTTATTTTAGTAATTGTTAAGAGGTGAACTATTTTTACTTATAATCATTCAGATCATATCTCACACTGATGGATTGAAAGAACAATCAATTAAACAGGTATTTCTAGCTATAGAGCATATATTCAATAAATATTTAAACTTGTGAAACATTTAACAATTTTTTTCGGAAAATTAGTGACTATGATGGTTTTTTATGAAGTCAATTCCGTAGACTGACTAGTATATTTTAAAGTGATTCATCTATTTACCTGGAAATCGAATTTGTAACCACCTACAATAGTAGTAAGTTTACTAACTTACTCTCCAACTAGTTTGTTAACATTTCATAAGAACATATTTTCGTTGTTATTCTTTTAAAGCATATTTCCATTATAATTACTCTCCTCATTTTAGACGTTCGTAGACAAGCCTATAAAAAATCCAACTCTGTGAAATATTATAATTATGCTAGTCTTATTAAAAAGTTGCCTATTCCAGCAAAACTACGTGCTTTCTTGTCGTATTGTGATTTATGGCCGGATTTGGATAGATCTCAAGTCAAAGTCGTTAAAGGAAACCAATTTCATCGCAATCAAATAACAGATACTATGATTAACAATATATTTAATGAAAATATAGAGTTGTGAAAATTCTATTAATTATCCTGTTTTTATGCTTCATATCAGTCATAATTGTAACCGCAAATATAATTTTATTTTTAATTTGTTTGTTTCAGATCATAAAATTTTCTGACTTTTTCTGTTCTTCACCGCTATATTTTTTTAATATTGATTAATAAATTTACATTTTCCGATTACTGCTTATACTCTTACTACCTTTACCACTACGGGATTTGAACTGATAACTGCATCTCTGTGCTAATGTGGTATGGCAACTCGAACTGATGTACGTACGTACGAAGTTCTACGTTGTTATTAACTGACTGATTTCCTAAAATTACTTTATTTTTATCTAGTATTATCTTTCGAAAATTTGATTAGATCTTAGTTTGAAATTTTGTTCATCAAACAATATGCGGTATAACTTCATGTTAACCGTCAAACGGACAATAACCTAATCAATTGTATTGATAGAAAAAGCTTAAAATTAGCTAGGAGACTCCTAGGACTAAGTAATAGTCAAAGAATACATCATTTATTTCAAAATGAATTTCCTTACAAATTTAACATTTTGAATACAATAATAATTTATATCATTCATTAAAATATTTTACTGTTAGTAGTGTGGAGATTCATTGAGTGATATCGTTCAAAATAGCATTCGACTAGTAAATGTTAACTATTGGCTACTTATAAAACATTGATAGCAGCAAATTAGAGTTCGTTTATATAATTTGTAAGGCAGTTTAGGCTGATATATCGTCGAAGTGTTGTTATTATCGGATAAGAACTTAATTAAGCTTCATTTCCATTATGAACTAATACAATTATCAGTATTGGAAAATTTTCCCATGTGTTGGCCCATAAATTCTGACTATAAGAACTGTTCAATAATCATGGATTTCCAGTCCCGTCCCAGGTAATAGTGATTTTTGAGGGATAACTATTAGCAGTTATTTCAAACAGTTTTACTATCATATTTTGACTTAACCTAACACGAAAAGTCACCACAGCTTTTAGAATCAGTTAGGTGGTTTTATGAATTCTTCAGTTCGAGTGAATTATTCTGGTCCCAATTTTATGACTGATTTTACATTAGGGGTTCTGACAAACATTTATTCAAACTATCGAAGCGGGCTTTGGATATCCTTTACTTTGACAGTTTATTGAAATTTATTCAAACACGAATTCAGGCTGTTACGTCTTTAAAACAGAATTGAGTAGCTTACCAACATGTGGTTTAAAATTAGTAGTAATGCATTAGTTTGCTTAAAAAATAACCCTTCATGAATGTTACTTTAGAGATTAATCGGTATTTACATTGTGTATGTCAGTATGAAACATGTACAAAATTCAAGGATATCTGTAAATATAATTTTTTATGTGTTAGTATGACTTTGGTTTCTGAATTTTCAAAGATACCAGTATTCACTATAGAGTAGGTAATTTTCCAAGTGTATTGGTAAGTCCAAATGTTTAACGAAATAAGCGTAGTTGACACCTGATGAAAGTAATTTTTCAAAAAGAAAATAATTTATATATTATGACAGCAGATGTACAACTTGATGAATAATCCTAGCAAAATTTACTTTCACACATCAATGTCATATATTTGAGATATTACTTAGTCCAAATTATTCTACATAAGTGCAATAGTGAATATGATTTATTCTTGAAAAAAAAAGTATAAACTGACTCGTTGCTGTAGTTGTTCATTAACATTTGTTTCCTTACAATATATTAAATTATCATTATGCAGATATCTTAAAATAATGAGAAGCAACTATAGTCATGAGCAAAGATGAATTTGTAATTTGAGCACAATTTCTCATCAACTAACATTGATGTTCATTTTAGGTTTTTTAGATCAGCTGTGTTCGAATATTGTCAGGTTTTGTATCCATAATGGTGATTTTTATACAAAAAATCTATCCTTGTAAATATGAATCAGCACTTGGAAGTCAAGGAGTGTAACAACTCACGAACTGGTTCACATTTTTATAAAGACAAATATGTAGTTATAAATCTAAAATGACGAATACGTAGTCAGAATTGATAGAAATCGGTTTACAAGATGTAACTGTAGGAAAGAGTAAAAGTATTTGTATATAGTATAAATACTCATACCTCTGAATAATAGCTAATCACTATTAATCAACGTATGATTGGTAAAAAAATATGACTAAGATCAAATTGCAAATTTTACGTAAGTACATAGGGAGAGGACAAAAACAATGAAAGCTGTATGTTGAAATGGTTATAATATCAAGTCTAATGAAATTCGTCCTTGGAAATCTAGTTTGAAAAGACGGAAATGAAACAATCTTAAAATTGTATGCAGCAAAGGGTGGGTAGAGAAAACGTAGTTGTTTTTGTTTTAAACAACGGTTATTTTCACGAAAAACGAACAAAATATGCATATTTTATTTCCACTACATTTCAGGATTTTTATACACGTTATCGAAAAAGTGTATTTAGTCAACTAAAACTCATCTATATAATGAAGAAGTTTCTGAGAACTATGGTTGTTATATAAATTTGTACGAACCTTCATCTAAACTTGAAGGAATAGTTTCATAGTAGCTGGGGTTGTTTATTATATTTAACAAATTGCCCTTTGTCTATCTATTGTTACCACATTTTTGGTTAATTTAGTTCATTTAGGGCTCTTTAAAAATATAAGCATGCTTTCAAAATAAGAAAGTGCTAACAGATGTCACATTCGAAAAATCAAGGAACAACGAACATTAGTGTATCGAAACACCACCTTTACAGTATGCCCATAAAGTTATTACGCTGTTGGGATCAAAATATATAAGTTGAAACTTATAATTTGAAGTAAATTCAATAAACAAAAGTAAACAAAGAAACTGTTTATGCACTGTATAAATGATTGGCTACATTGCTCAAAATTGTTGAACTCGAGAAATTTGTGTCAAAGTGTTTTACTAAAAATGTATGAACGTTGATATTATTTGACTTGACTTTATGATATTTGGGCGTTAGACGACTGTGCATAGATTGAAAATTTTATTTCCCTCTGTTTGAGTCGATTCTATTGAATACATCAATCACAACACACGCAGAATAAACTAGATAATTCATTTTAGTATTGGTTGTTTGAATTTTCCTATTCATGTTTAGGACTGTAATTAATCAGTTTTTCATTAACATACGTGCATTCTGTACGGATTGTATCGATATTACTTTGCGTTACAAGCATTATAAGCAAAGATGGATAAGCTAAGTAAATAAGGCGATGGTGTTCGAAGCGAATGGTCCTGGGTTCGAGTCCCAAATAAGACGAAACACGCATGCTAGATCACAATGCTAGCCACCATCTATCTCTGGTTATGTCGGTTAGATGGATTGCTTTAATCTAGTTAGTGGGCACCACCTATTGGTGTCAACAGCTTCCGAATTCTGCCGTTTAAAAATATGTATCACATAGAAATAGCTAAGACCTGTTTTGTGACACAACTGATTGTTCAAATCAATCATATTCATTACGGTATTTATCATGATGAATTTAATGCGTATGTTCTAATATCATATAAAGTGACCAGTTTGCGGCATGAAATATAGCTGTGTTAGTTTTAGACCTGTTGTTTTACTATGATAGTCTGGATAGACCCTGAAAGTTGGTTCAAATCAGCGACCTGGAACATTATTCAAACATCTCAAAATAGTAGTCAGTGAAGATCATGATTTTGTTTTTCAATACATTCTTCAAAAACGTAAAATGAACTTTTTTACCTGGATGAAACCTGCTTTGAATATTTTGTTAGTTGAATTGTCTATTTTAATAAGCACTATTCTTGTTTATTTATATATTTGATTTATTATAAGACTTTTGTGGCTTATATTTTCTCACACTGTTGTTGTTCCGTTTTCTACGGGGTATTTTTGAGCGTCCTGGAACATTATTCAAACATCTCAAAATAGTAGACAGTGAAGATTATGATTTTGTTTTTCAATACATTCTTCAAAAACGTAAAATGGACTTTTTTACCTGGATGAAACCTGCTTTGAATATTTTGTTAGTTGAATTGTCTATTTTAATAAGCACTATTCTTGTTTATTTATATATTTGATTTATTATAAGACTTTTGAGGCTTATATTTTCTCACACTGTTGTTGTTCCGTTTTCTACGGGGTATTTTTGAGCGTCCTGGAACATTATTCAAACATCTCAAAATAGTAGACAGTGAAGATTATGATTTTGTTTTTCAATACATTCTTCAAAAACGTAAAATGAACTTTTTTACCTGGATGAAACCTGCTTTGAATATTTTGTTAGTTGAATTGTCTATTTTAATAAGCACTATTCTTGTTTATTTATATATTTGATTTATTATAAGACTTTTGAGGCTTATATTTTCTCACACTGTTGTTGTTCCGTTTTCTACGGGGTATTTTTGAGCGTCCTGGAACATTATTCAAACATCTCAAAATAGTAGTCAGTGAAGATTATGATTTTGTTTTTCAATACATTCTTCAAAAACGTAAAATGAACTTTTTTACCTGGATGAAACCTGCTTTGAATATTTTGTTAGTTGAATTGTCTATTTTAATGAGCACTATTCTTGTTTATTTATATATTTGATTTATTATAAGACTTTTGTGGCTTATATTTTCTCACACTGTTGTTGTTCCGTTTTCTACGGGGTATTTTTGAGCGTCCTGTTGTACCAAGTTTATCAAGCAGATAATAAACTACAAAAATTCTCGTTAAGGAAAGTGATTTATTTGAAGCACTACAATAAGTAGCGTTAGGACACACCTACTTTTTGGACTGATAACAATAATTTACTTTAGTGATTGTCAATTAACTTGTTGTATCCAACATGATTAGGAAGTAAAATTTAAAGGAGTGACATTATTATTGCAATTTAGCCGTAATTGTCTACTGAGTCGGTGTTTCGTTCAACAATATTTTGATATTAATTAAAATATAAGAACTTGTACAACTTCACATAGAGGCAAATAGAAATGATTTTGTCCAGGGCATTTTATTAGCGGGGAGTATAATTTCAATGACCAGTTAAGATTAAATGTCCAAATCTACATACATAAGAAAAAGTATTAATTAAAGGATATTGATTGGTAATGTTGGGAGTGAGACAGTTGCCACTAATGATACTGGGTAGTGAATTTGCCAAATGACGAATTGACTGAAGTATGAAATTTGGTGCATTCAGTTCCCAATTTAGTGGTCTACAGGTTAGACAGTTACAGTCAGAGATGGAAGTTTTGAGTTCAACACCTGACAGGATCATAGTCGCACACAGCTATGGAATTCCACATTAAGATGAAAGGACTATCTATTGGTTCTTGTTTGTTAAAAGTACTATAATTGAGGTTAATCAGTGATGAAAATCAACTACAAGATAATCACTAATATCCATTTTTTCTAAACTTGGAGTTAGTTGAAAAGATTATAATTTCTAAGATAGATTCACTTTTATATAAATGGTATCCTAATCATTAAATATCACTTTAATGAGAAATACCGGTAATAATATTTTTTTTTAAAAATACCTGTTTGTTTTACTGCATATCTTCTCAATGAAATACGACAAATAGCTTGTAATTCAAATGGTTGTTGAATGTACATGTAAGTATTGATGTCATTCCATTTGATATTCTTTTTATTTTTAATTACTGTACGATAAAATAACCACGTATAAAATAATCTATTCCATATTTCTTCCCATTTATGAGTTACTGTCATATGTTCAGAAAAAATAGTTAAAAAATGCAGTTCCATAGCATATCGGCATTTATCATCTAATGTTCTATTATAATTTTCATAATATTTCTTAATATCATTTAATATTTTACGTATTTCATTTATATCTGATAATATTGTAGGACAAATTTCTGGAGTTGCAATTATCAATTCAAAAAGCAATGATAAATTATGAACTGATCTATATTGACCAATTATTCTATTGTTCAGGTATTCAACTGCACTACCAGGCATAACATCATAGTTACTCCAATTGAAAAGCTATTAAATTTTAAAAAAAGATTAAAACTCAAAATTTCACCAAGTAAACAGGTATTCTGTTCTCGGTCAGTCACAAAATAGAATCTGTACGTATGTACTCCAGTTCAAGTTGCCATTCCCTATTAACATAGAAATATTGTTAGGCCAAATCCCAGATTAGTAGAGGTAGTGACAATATCAGTGGTGATTAAAAGGACAAGACATCGAAGATACGATTCAAGAAAATATGAATTAGTGAAATAAAAATACAAAGAAATGTCATGAGGAATTTACAACCTCAGTATTTGAGAGAAGACAAAAAATAGATGCACTTGCTCAATTGCAAACGATTTTGAGCCATGTAATTCAAAGTCTCTAACTAATAGTTACGATAATCATGCTGACCTCAACCAGATAGTCTGTATTTATTAACATGGCCTAGTAGAATTATCAGTGACTTCATGAACTGATGGCATGTTCTGTTTTGTCCGCTCCTAGCTTTCTTCCAGCCTGTTCCTGCACCAGAAAACATTGCCCGTAGAGGTAGGGGGTGGTTGAACATACGTCACACATATTCCACACACTTCAGTTGATAAAGATTCACTACTTTCAACCGATTGTCTATCTTTGCCTAATACTATATTCTTAATCCAAGCATTGCTTACTCCATGGTCTCAAAATACACGAGTAACGCTTCGTAGACACCTATGATCGAATCCTGTTCTGTTCTAATAAACTTATATAATTCATAATTCTCAAACTTATTTCAAAGTTGTACATAAATTGATAGAGTACACATCCAATATAAACGATATTATTTGTGATAAAAGTGAGAAAAACTCCGTGAATCATTATGAGAACAAGTAACTCAAAGGGGTTTTATTAAATTGTTAGTAGCTCATAACCACAATTCTGCTGGATGTTCTTTGTGAAATAAAAAATACGGCATAATCAGTGGTTTTAATTAGTAGCTCTTTTGAACAGATCCAGTGACAGGTATGTATGGAATGGATTTTAAATTATTATTTTCAGATCATATGTTCATACAGCCTGAAGGGAAAGATAAACCTGGATAAAGTAGATAACGGTGTTTATTAACCAATACGTTTAGGAATGACTTAACTAATAAAACATTGAGTAGTACCTCAATACAATTATAATCCCAATAGTTGAGATCATGAGTCAATTGAAGCTAGACCACCATAGAAAACCTGGAAGCACTGAACGGCCGTTTCGTCCTAGTATGGGACTCCTCAGTAGGGCACATCCACGAGCCCGCCTCTAGAGATTCGAACCTAGAGCCTATCAGTCTCGCGCGAGAGTACTTAACCACTAGACCACTGAGCCGGCATTCAACTTCAACTAATCCAGGGAATTGAGCAACATATCCACCAATGTCTTCATTGAGTTACTATCTCACAACAGACCCGGTTGACTTTCGTAATTTGCCATTAAAATTTGACCAGTTAAAAAGTTACTTTTTATGCTGAATAATAAAGTAAATATTACCGATGTGACACAATTTATTATTATTATTGTTGTATTATATTTGCCAGAAAGGATCAAATAAGTATTTGAGACTTTTCATTAAAACGTAGTATATATCGAACAATTTAATTGTTAATTAAGAACTTGACGGTTAACCATTCATCTCATCTATTTATTTTTTTATATTATCAATAACCTGTTAAGAAAATGGAATAAAAATTATTATAATTTTCGAAAATTTACAAATTTGATTCTAAACAAACTAATCTATTTTCAGAAGGGGTTTTGTGATTTTAGTAATTTCAGTAGTTAAAATCATGTTCTAGTGAGAAGCAGTGTCCAGTGGAGTTCAACCAGGTCTGCTGTGAGATATCAGCCCACTGAAGACAATGGTGGATGTGTCGCTCAATTCCCTGGATTAGTTGAAGTTGAATGCCGGCTCAGTGGTCTAGTGGTTAAGTACTCTCGCGCGAGACTGATAGGCTCTAGGTTCGAATCTCTAGAGGCGGGCTCGTGGATGTGCCCTACTGAGGAGTCCCATACTAGGACGAAACGGCCGTTCAGTGCTTCCAGGTTTTCTATGGTGGTCTAGCTTCAATTGACTCATGATTTCAACTATTGTAATCTATTTTCATTATCTAAATTTTTGAATAAGTGAAGAATAAAAACAAATATACTGAAATGCATTGATTAAAATAATTTACTACTTACCTCACTATAAGAAAATGGTTCTGTAATAAATGCTTGTGGATAAATTAAAAGCGACGAAACTGATCGGAGTGAGAATTCAGGAGTAACAAAAAAATTTTCTGGTGAATTCGCTGCCATTATATATTGCAATTTAAAACATCCTTGTTGTTCAGCTAGTTGCATAGCACTTTCCCCATTTTTATTCACGTAATATGGACTCCACATATATGGTGGATTGATTAAGATTTGAATACAAGCGGAAGCATGATATAAAACTGCAAGCTGAAGACAAAGAATTTCATAGTATGGTTAGATTTTGTATGTAATTTTATGGCTATTATTTACCTTTTTCTTAGTCTATATGAGGTGGTTTGGTGGAGATTTGTAGAAGGTATTCATCGTAGACTAATCTCAGTCGTAGTGTTACTGAAAACCAGAGGGCGTTGGCCAGTTGTTTTGTCCTAATATAGGACTCCTCTACGCTACGACACTCATTTTAATAGTAACTGAATTTTGGATAAGCTCCTGAATTTTCAGTGAAAAATTATAGCTCCTGGAGTTCGTAAATAGCTAAATTGTCTTCAGATCCTTTTAATGATCTCGCTTTATTGCATATTTATTGAAGTTCAAAACCTGTAGCATTGAACGTAAATCCAGTGGTTTGACTGTCTAAGCGTTTGCCACTAGATGTCCAGATCTTGAATCCGATCTATTTCAAGGTCGTGACTATATATTACTGAGCAACCCCATACTATTTTGAAACAGTAGCCCAATCTTTTCTCATTTTTAGTGACAGCCCAAATGAGATTAGTCTGTAACGAACACCTTTAACAATTTTTCAAGAACATGTAAACTACAATGAATTCACTGGAGCTTTCAAAAAACATGTAATGTTGATCGACTTTTTTATATATGTGACTATAGAAGCACGAAAGATGACCGAGTCTATAATTTCATACATGATTAAAACATTTCCTTGAATATCAACAAAATTTGGTTAATTGGATATTAGAGCTGACTATCACAATTGTATCAAGGTGTAACATATATTACATTGTTAAACATACAGAAAAGAAAATTATTGTTAAACGAAACATTGTCAACAATCATATAGTTTAATCTTTTTAAAACTTCTATAAAAATCCGCACTACTTATACATCCTTGAAGTAAATGTATAGAAGATCCATTATCCCACACCAAAGTGTATATTCATATGCAATCCTTAAAAAGTTTCAATGTAGTTTAATTTATTTGCCAAAATAGTCGAACTAAAATGTTAACCAGACTAAAATTGGTAGTAGTACCAATAAGAGACATTAAAGTCTAGTTTTACCAACGTTTAAACTAATCGATCTATTGATACAAAACAAAATTTCTCGATAATCAAACTGAGAGGGTTAAACGATTATATAATTAGTTTTTAATGTTACAGGTTTAGCTCATCCCAGATTTTACCGCAGTGATCTAAACCAGAATTCATTTTTTACCGGTAAGTGGTAAAAGTAAGTCAGTGAATTTTAATTGTGATTGCTGAATATCTATTACGTGGTAAGCTGTATACTTAACCAAATCAAGAAATATATATGTTTAAGGTCAAATAAAATCAATAAATATGAAATCGATCATAAAAGAAGAGATAATATACACTTTCATTATCAATATTAATGTAACAAAAAAAATCCAATTATGAGAATTTTGTTTTATTATTAAATGGTGTATACTTGTGTTTACGGAACCCGAGAGGCTGGAAAAGTTAAATTCTCAGATGAGTTAATAGTTATAACAAAATTCAATACAGTGAATTAAATATATATATATATATATATATATATATATATATATATATATATATATATATATATATATATATATATATAATACTTTAGTCAACTAGTTTTTGTTTTAAATTACTTTGTTTATAGTAACTTGTCATGGTAATCAGTTTATTTGCGGTAAAATGAATAATAGACACTTAAGTGTACTGACAAAAATTTTGTAGGCAATGATGAATTTTCTGGAAAACTGTATATAGCTTTGAGAACAACTTAGAAAGAAACTCTTTAAGGTGAATATATTTGCTCTGAGATAAATGAAGTAAGGTAGCGATATTATGACAATATTAAAATTGAATTACCGATCACAAGTTTTTAGAAAACTGACAAACTGTTTTAAACCACCATAGTCCAATAGGTTTCACTTTGTCTAGTATGTAATACTTCTTATTTATAAACAGACACTGTTTATTGAATGATAAGTTACATCAAAATCATAAGGTGATATTAAGATTGCTGTATCTTCCTCTTTAAATGAAAGGTCAAACGAATTTCATTTTGTTTTTTCGCCTCGTCATATATGTACTTGTCGGTTCTTAGGATTTTCTTCTAGGTTCTCGATGGATTACAGATATGAAATTATTTGATACATTAGGAACTATGAAAGACTAAAGTACTAGTTGGTGATTAATAACAGCAGTTGAGGGAAGAGACAGAGGTTATTTCGACTCCAATATGGGGTCGTCCCCATATCATAGTTACATAAAAATATCTTTCTGAAATCCTATTTAACAAATGATAGCAAAGTTTTATCATTGCACGATACTCAGTTAAAAAAAATGAAAGAAAAAACCTAACAAAGATCTATCGAAAAAGGGACTTACATGCAATAAATTTTCATATCCAAGAACTGTATGCTCAAAATCAAACAGTTTGTTTTCTATTTCGTTACATTTATTATTGTCAGTGGTATTTAAAGTAGCGGTATCTTGACTAAGATAATTTAATACTGCTAGCAATCGATTTGCATCATCCTTCTTTATAATCGATTTTATGAGTGTTAGGAACTCAGGTTTATTATCGAAATTATTGAAAACATTTGAAGAATCCGTCATAGTGTAAAATGAAGGGAAACATGTAAAACTAAGTGAAAAACGGTGAAATACACGTTCCCGTTGTGGAAAAATCACTTCTTTAAAAACTTTTGTCTCTATAGTTTCATAAATATACTATCGAAAATGTCTAACAAACCAATAAGAATAGATTAAGTGTTTCTTTTCTTATGTCTCTTATTTTACGAATGACCTTATCACGTGATCAGTTATTTGATGACTTCCACTAAATATAACGATTTTTTGAATGTACTTTAAAACACAAATACAAGTCGTTATGCCTTATGTAAATGTACTGTTCAGTTAAAACAGTTTTAGCATCTTTCAGTAATTTAAATAATATACATATAAACTGATGTCTACAATCTGGGGTCCATGTTAGACAATATTTTATGGGGACATCGTCGTTACAAGGGGAAGTGTAACTGAATGTTAGTTACTTGTGAAATTTTTTCTTTGCTTATTCATATATTGACTAACAAGTAACTATTTAGAGTTATATTGTTCTGATTAAACAAATAACATTAATTTCCTAATAAATATTCACCAAGTTAGTCATTTTGTTTCCTGAAATCTAATTCGTTGAAGTAATTGAGTAATACAGATACAATTATTTCGTCGTAGTAACTTTGAATGTTTGAGTGCGGAATTATATGTACATAAATTTGAGATGAAGATTTGTTGCTCATGTGGGTGATTTTGGTGGAGTTTTGTTCTCTGAGCTGGATGATTTGTTTGTGGTGCTTTCACGGTTCTTCTGAACGACATCATCAGCACGAACTTCAAGTAGAAGTGAAGTGTTCAAATTTCTCTACATATGGCTGACAGCTTGCCCAGTAGACCTCGATGTTGATTGGTCCTTGTTGACCTTTAGTCTGTCATTGTTTATTTCTTTATTTTGGTTGTACCCCCATTGGTTTGATTTTTGGTCCTATATTTGTTCATAATTTTTCTGATTGGTTGATAAATTGGGTCGATTTAAATGTGTTTGTTGATTGCTGATTAACCTGAGTGCCAAGTTCCTAAAAATTCTCTAGTGTTTTTAGAATTGCCTCTATCCAAGATCTCCACATTCTTTCAGTCGAATGTGTGTCCACATGCATTGATGTAAGCGAGGATATGTCATGGCGTTTGACCACGAATTGATGTTCATACAGGCGAAGATAAAGGGAACATACACTTCGTCCGATGTAGTGTATTTCGCAGTTGGAACAATTTATTTTGTAGATGTTCGGCTTTTCTTCTATCGTCATTTCATCCTTTGGTTTCAATAGGATTGATTGAAGTGATTCCGTTGTTTGTCTGCTACACCTATTCCAAGAAACTTCAACAATCTCGTTGTAATTTCTAATATGCCTTTTGTATATGGTAAGATGAACTGTTTGTTAGTTTCTGTACTTGACTTTGTTTCTGATGATGCCTTTGGCTGATATTTTTTGACGAAACTGATTCGATAGCCGTTCTTTTGAAAGGTGGAAATCAGGTATTTTTTTATTTTTTCGCGTTGCAAGCGTGTCCCCGCGTTCTTGAATAAAGCTTGTACGCAGATGATTTTGTGAATTCTTGGGTTGTTGCTACTGGAATTGAGAATTCGAACTGTGTGCGTAGGCTTCAGCTAAACTTGAGTCTCTAGTTTTCCTGTGTCGGTTCTGGTGATTAACATATTCAAGAATGATAGTTTTTTGTTTGGCTCCTGTTTTATCGTGAACTTTATGTCATCGAAGACGTCGTTGATCAGTTTGAAGGTGTTTCCCAGCTCGTCCTTTTTGACGATGACGAATGTGTCGTCCACATAACGAATCCAAATTATTGGCTTGATCACTGGTAAAATCGAGGTTTCCAGTCTATTCATCGCTGCTTCTACAGTAAGTCCTGATATTGGTGATCCCATCGGTTTTACTTTCGTTTGTCCGTAGATTTAGTTGTTGAATTAGAGGTATGTTGTTAACCATAAATCTATGATTCTTAGTAAACTTTGACTTTGGAGCTTCGTGTACTTTGGCAGATTTGTGTCGTTGGTGGAAAGCAGGGATAGTTTCCTTTGCTAAGCTTGGTTCAACTGATGTGAGTAAAGCTGTAACAGCGACGGATATCATCAGTTCTAAATTGTTGACTTGAATGTCCTTAGGCTTATCCGGGAATCGTATGGAAGAATTGATGGAGTGGTTGGATGAAACCACTGAATGTTTCAGTATCGGTGAATTTTCTCATGACAAATTGTATGTTGGGGTCCTGGGAAGTGATACGATTGGACGTAGTGGGATGATTGGTTTATGTATTCTCGGCTTACCGTATAATCGAGGGAGTACTGAACCACTGGATTTCATTCCCGATTGATGTTGCTTTGACAAGCTTGTTTAAAGTCCTTGAGACTTGATTGTCTAAACTTTTGACTGGATATGTGTTCATTGATTTGTATACGTTCTTATGCTCAAGCAGTTCCTCGACTTTCCTAACATATTATTCCCTGTCCATAATCACCGTAGTGCGTCTTTTGTCCGCTGGGACTATGACAATATCTTCTCTAGTCCTGAGTTTCTTTAAGGCTTTTTGTTCATGTGAGGTCAGTTGAGTGTTCCCTTTCCTCCGCCGAGTTAGCGGTACTATGGTTTGTCTTATTTCCTGTCGAGTTTCTTCACTTCTTCCGATGAAAGCTTCACGATCAAACCATCCAGCTCAGAGAACAAAACTCCACCAAAAAATGTATATTAACCCACGATATTCAGGAATGCCCCCAAATGCCCTGGTATGGCTAAGAGTGGGAAGGGCCCGCCCTACCTCTCGAAATGCTCTCACATTGTCACACGTACACAGCCTCTGCGAGAGGAGTCCTACTCACTGCCTTCTCGTGGCCGGGGTGTTGTTTACGAAATTCAGAGGACGAAAAGCGAATGTCCGGGACGTTAACCGGATTCCAAATCAATGGTGTACATGGGCTCCAGTGTCCTGTGGGAAGTAATGGCGTATGAACCAATCGTTGGTCACCGGCTACCATGGGATTGCATCTCCTTACGATGCTCCATTGCCTTGTGGGTTAGACCTTTAAGTCAAAGGCTCGGGGTGTGATCCCCTAAGGAGACCACCTGCTTCGGTCTGGGCACCTGGGCAGTATCACAGCCCACACACAAATAGAATGAAATTTGTGTGGCGCATATATATATGGTGCTCTCTTGAAGCAATATTTATGTGTTCAAATAAAATAATGATATAAATGATATTCAGGAATATTCTCTGACAAGTTGTCTTAGAATAATTTACATGACAGTGAATCTCATACACAATGTTCTGTTGTTCTTCCTTTGCTAACTTGTCCTTAACTTTCACTAATGTCGATCTTAATGTGTTATTTGCTCTAAAATACACTCTTATATCATGTTTGTTTAGAATCCGTTTGATTTCTTCTGATGTTTCATCTAACGCATGAAACATCAGAAGAAATCAAACGGATTCTAAACAAACATGATATAAGAGTGTATTTTAGAGCAAATAACACATTAAGATCGACATTAGTGAAAGTTAAGGACAAGTTAGCAAAGGAAGAACAACAGAACATTGTGTATGAGATTCACTGTCATGACTGTAATGCTACCTATGTTGGAGAAACATCCAGGCAATTAAATGTAAGATTGAAGGAACACAAACAATTCTTGAAAAATGTTCCAAAATCCTCGGTAGATTTAAAGAAACTTGAAAATAAGTCAGCGATAGCGTTACATGCGTTAGAAACAGGACACAAGATTAATTTTGAAGGGACCAAAATACTTCAGAAAGGTTTTAACACCCATAAAGAAAGATTGACAGCAGAAGCTCTGCATATATGGACGAACAAGAACAGCCTGAACCGAAAAGATGGTATTCAAATGGCAACTACCTGGCAAATTTCGTTTGACAAGTAAATTTGGAACCTATCTCTTGTTTAAACCTGTTTTTAATATCACATGCATCGTTATTATTATTGAAAGAACTGAATGAGTTTCTAAACAATACAATTTATGTTTTGACATGCACATCGATCTTTCATTGTCAAAATTTTCATCCTTGAACTTGAACTTTATTTATTCCTTCATATCAATCACACATGCATACATACATACACACTCACACACATACGATTTGTTACTCAGTTAAGTATTTCCATGTAGTTGAATTCATCACATGATTTGTAGTCAACTGACTCATTTTATCCTATTTTACAAAAATCAACACCCAAATATGATTGGTTTAACACAGTATAATCCTGATTGTTAAAAGCTATACATTTCTTTGATAATTTTGATTTTGATTATTACCCTGAAGAAGTCCAGACAAGTTAGCTGGACGAAACGTTGGAATTAGTTAAATTTCAATCGCTGAGAATATTTCAAATATAATTTTCACATATAATGACTTCTCTATACTCGGCGCTCAATTACTGTCAAACTATTCGTTCTAATCTTGACGAATATTCGTAAAAGTGCTGATTATTGGTAATGAGAATTCTTTAACTATTTATGCCACACTCAGTAGTGACAACTCAAAGTGTGGCGAGATTTACTTAAACCATTTACGCTTAGATGTGTTATAGTCTTGTTTATTGTAATACTGTGAAGGCGAACAGATGACGTTCATTCTCACGGTATTTTAACTTAAGTTATACATTCCAAATACAATTGACAGTTACAGTTTCCTACATTCACTCAATAATGTATCACTACTAAGGTGGTGCTGAAAAGTTTCCAGAATTTATATATCTTCAGTATCCAAATATTTTGAAGACCTCAAACTGTACTTTGAATCCATGATTAGCAGCGTTAGTTTCTCGAATGATTTGCTAAAGTCGTTTCAAGTAGATTTTTTGGACCCAATCGCGACCAGTCAAACAAAATGAAACACATTCCGTTTTTCAAACTGAAAGTCAGACAGAGTGAACATTTTAAATAACACATTGTGTTAGACGGAACAGGTACGAACTCAATTCAAATCAGTCTATAGACCAAAGGAATGATTTATTAAGGTAATAGGAAAATCCAAATGAAAATTTAACAGATAAAAACTACGAAGTTGAGGTGTGTTCTTTTTTAAATGTTCTGACTGAAGTGATTTTACTAGAATATCAAACTCTTTCACATTAAGAATTGAGACACCTAATGTCTTATTGGCGAATTATCCTGACTGTAAAAAATATTTACAGATTAGGGATCTAGTCCAATTCCACAAATCGAAATAATGTCACATTCTACTTATAAATTTTTCATAGTTAAGAGTAAATTCATTCCAGCATTACCCTTTATAGATTAGAACTTTAGAGTTAGAATAAACTCCATAGATATTTCAAACACATCATGCTCGTAAGTACACAAAAGCACAAAAATAGGATCAAGAGTTATTTTTGATGGTGACCTGCATAGCTCAGAATTATGCTGCATTATTTTTTATCCAAACACAATCAGACATCGGCGTTTAATCCCTCACAGTTTTGAAAACAAGTCTGGTGAGTTACAAAAAATCAAAACTATTACAATTGATTTACATTTATTTATTCGTAGTAATATTTCATAAAAAGAATACGTTAAAAAAAGTACATGTTGTATTCGCAGGAAATAAAAACTATAATGATTTGAATAGATCTAACCATTAGTAAGTTATAAGAAAAGTATACTTTATTATCCAATTCCATTAATTCTCTTTTTCTGATTTGTGTTTATGGTAGATGAAATCTTATTTGCTCGACGTGCCTTAAATTCAGCAAGTTTCAACAACCAAGCATCCCATGTGGAAGGATCGGATTTATCCAGCTGTAAATTTACACAAAAGATAAGAAACGATAACTGTGTAACTAAAATGTTACTCTATAAATTAAATGATGACAATGTATGTACTAGAAAAAGAACAATATTAAAAAAGTCATATAGTTAATGAATAAGTTGATCATTGGCTCATTGGTTAAGGCGTTCGACATTCATCTATTAAATCCCACGTTTGAACCCTACTATAGTCACTTTAGTTTAGGTAACTAAGTAGGATCATTATCTCTCATACAATGTGTAGTGTGAAGTCAAGTACACGAATTTGGACTTGGTAAATGAATGAATAAACTATGAGCTAAGGGACATGATAAGGTATATACTTGTTATATATATAAGGTTTTTATCTTCAATAGTTTATTAAGATAAATTTAGAATACACTGTAGAGGTGGCTTTTAAAGAAGCAAGATACTGGAAATATGTAAGCCACTATACTGAATGACAAGGCTTGAGAGATCAAACCATTCAGCTCAAAAAATTTAACACCAACGCAATCATTTCAGCTTTTTATTAGTCAATACATTTATACTTTGGAGTAAGATAAAAGCAAGCATTTTTCACTAGTTAACTAACCAACGGATGAAATAATCTAAACGAATTTCGCTCTGCTTGGTAAACTGCTTAATCGAAAATGGAATGATTCCTAAAATAATTTTAGTAATTTCTTGAAAAAAAAGATATACCAACCTAACAAAAAATAAGATAAATTTCGAAACGCCAATAATGATTTTCTCAGAATTCAGCACAAATGCTTTATGCTTCTCTCAATCGCAATGAATAAACGTCATTCAACGTCAAAGAATTTGCACAACCGTTAATGTAACAGTATATTTCCGTTTGTTTCGTTGACTAATAAGTAATTTTGGTAAAAATCTAGGATCCCAGAGTGAACATTTCGTTAACAATCGGACATAACAAGCACTTTCCTGTTATTTACAAGCTGTTTGCTGGTTTAGTTTGTAATTTAGCACTTCAAACAGTAGAGCTTTTGAAATTAGGCGCTTAAGTAAGTCACCTTACTCTGTAAACTTAAATGATCTTGTATGAATAAACATATACAAGTCTGTAGGTAGACAGATTTCGGTGTTAGTTATTATCACTATATACCCATTTCATTTTATGTACCATGAGTGTTACAACTTCACTGATAAACAGAATTGTATTCTTAGGATCCAGTTGTTGGTTACTGAGTGGATACAACATAATGCCATAATTTAAAAGTAGTCAGTTTGATTTTATTTGGTTGCAAAGTATTAATTCTGATATGTTGTTGAGGTATATCTAAATTTTGAGTATTGATAAATCTATTAGCATTAATGAACTTAAAGTCATGAAAGACTACAGTAAAGGACACGTCATGTGAGAAAACAAGGAAATATAATCTTTGTTACTGAAGATTACCGAATGATGAAGTAGTTGCTTCACTGTATCCACAGAAGAAACTAGTTTATCTTTGCCTTCAGCTGGATCTGTACCAAGAATGGAAGGTAAAGGAACTGAAGAATGACCAAATATAGCCGCTTCGTGTGCTCTTTCCAAAACCATTGAGGAGTATTGACCTGAATTGACACCTGTCGACCGTGAATGTGAATCCGGATTCAGTAGCTAGAAACATCAAACGATTATCAGAGTATATTTAATTATAAATATTGAGGTGATCTTTCCCATGGCATAGATGCACTTTGATGCAAAGATTAACTTCTTGTAGTCAACAAAAGAAATGATGTGAACAAGAGTAGATTAGATCCTCTTTGGATAATAGCCTGGTGATTACAGAGAGGAAATGTTCTGAAGGGTTCTGAATAGATATTCTGTTTATAAGTATATAACTTGATAACAAAACTGCCTGGATTACTTACTCGCTTGAAATATTTCCTTCAATTAGTCCCGAATAATTTGATAAACTGCGAAACTCTTATCCAGCTATAGAAGAAGACTACCTGTTTACGCATTAAATATCAGACAGAAAGGGAGGTCAATTAATTACTGGACATCCCTATGCTTTACGTGAACAAAACTAAAGCAATTTTCCTGATAATTTAGTCCCGAAACCTTTTGACTTGGTGCCGACACAACTATAAGCAATTCAGTTGCCATATAGATTTATTGGGCTGTAATTAAGGTACTTCGACCATTGATATTTTACATAACTCTTCACCACATATAAATATGTTATACGTACATACATACTCACAATTTAGTAATAGGTTAGTTTTATCGATATATTTAAGATATGTTTACTAAACTAACTGTTCATCAACATTTAGATACACCGTTTTAGGTGTTCAACGGTAGGCAATAATCTGGGGGAAGTTTCAACTATAAATATTTTGTTTAGATATATTAATAGCGACTTAAAATGAAACTTTTTTTCATCTGATATTTAAAGCTGTTCAATCTAACTGTTACCAAGATTTATTAGTTGGGCAATGAAAACTAAGAACTTAGGTAGGTAATGAACTTTTGCAAGGTTGCAGATAGATCTTGATGATGAGTAATCAAATGTAAAAAAATTGGGTCAATTGCTGCAAAAAACAGATAACAACCACATAGCAGCAAGATAGGCTTAAATGAATATTCTTTAGTCATACAGTCATATGGAACTTAGAACCATAAGCAAATCTGTACAGTGTAAACCTACTGTGTCTTGTTTACGCGAAGAAGAGAAACTTTTCTGTGTGAAACTTGAACCTTCGATGTAGCTAATCTCATTTTGTCGAGTTAATTCATTATCTGAAGAAAGCATCAAAGGCCTAAGAAAAGTAGCGTTAAAATTAGATAAACAATAAAACATTGAAATCTTACTTCATTTGAATGCGCAGTTCTTTGTCTTTATCACTGAAATAAAACAGGAGTATATTATTTTATATTAGAAATTTAGTAATTACACATATTTTTAAAGAATTGTACTACCAAGTGACGTGACTATAACAGAGTTCGTAAGCCAAAATTGAAAACGTACATTTTGTAGATATAGATCTCGTACATGGAATCTGTGTACACCACAGTTTACAGTGCCGTGGCCTACGCGGAATGCATAGTTTAATAAAAGCAATCGACGGGTTGTAAACAATAGGCATGGGTAACTATACTAGCATCTATTTGTCCGAAAGAATTAATTAGCATTTCCGACCGAGATAGATCGTGGTAATCCTTAACATTGAGAAGGGTACCAAAGAACATTGATTTACTGGACCCTTTTTGCAACACTTGGTCAAACTGCAGCTTACAGGAAGCTACTACTTGATCGAGTACGTCAATTAGTGTCTGTTACAGCCGTACATTCTTCGCATTTATAGATACTTTATCGGTCAGTTAAACGCAACGCAGAATTTGGCACATGTGTACACAGATACTTTGACTCAGATATGTTTCTAAAGTTAGCCGTTTCCATCTAAAATTTGGTTGCTCAGTCTACAATCTGGAGCTTACCTCCTCACCCTGTAGTACAGAGACGATGTGAATGTCTGACGAAAACAGTAAGTATTGAGTGGTAGTGAAAAACTTCTTGTGATGTGTTTCTCTTACCCTTATTGATTAAGTTTGCTTTAGGAAAAGCTTGTACGGAAACTCAACTTATCCGTAGATAGTGAGGCACTTTAGTATATTGAACATATATAAAAATCAATTATACTTACTGTGAACGTGAGCGGCTATCCCGTCGATGTTTGCGTGAGGAACCGTGCTTTTCATGATCTTCGCTAAAATACATGGAACAATGTTACGTTAACATACACAAAACAAAATCTACTAGTATAAATAAATCGGTCATTTTATGGGAGAATAACTCTACACTACAACAAATACCGTGACGTAGACGTTTATCAGTACAAAGGAACACAAAATTTTATTCATTCAATCAGTTACAACGTAGGACCAGGCACATATGTGCATCGGTCCAAGTTACCACACCTCATTAGTACAGCAAGATGAACACCAAATTCATAGAAGCAACCAACTCAATGGTGTAATATATAAAGGGAAGATTGCAGGAAGAAAGTTATTACGTAGAAAGAAAAATATGAAATAATTTTAGTCTCATAGTTTAAGGGAAGACAGAGAGTGTATACACCTACGCCATTGTGATCGGTTCTGAGCCATGTCACACAGAGTCTCCAACCATTCGTTACGATAGTCACGCGGACCCCAACCAAGTAGTATGCATCTACCAACATGGCTCAGACTACAAGTTAGTGACTTCAAGCACTGATGCCACGTCTTAGTTTGGCCACCCCTAACTTTCTTCCAACCATCCCCAACACCAGTTAGCATTGCGCGTCGTGGTAATCGGTGTTCAGGCATACACAACACGTGGCCCAATCATCTCAGTCGATGTAGATTCACAACCTCATCAACTGCATTACTATCATTCCCTAATACCCCACGTCTAACCTCACTATTACTTACCCGGTGATCCCAGCAGACGCCAGCAATATTTCTAAGGCATCTGTGGTCAAATACTAATAGCTTACGAGTGTCTTCTACTCTTAATGGCCATGTTTCGCTGCCGTAAATTAAAACAGAACGGACTGCCGCGCAGTATACTCGTCCTTTTATTGATAGACGGATATCTCGCCTTCGCCATAGGTGACGTAAGTTGGCAAAAGCCAAGCGAGCTTTTCGAATCCGTGCTGAGATTTTGTCCGATACCAACCCATTAGGGCTGATCAGACTTCCAAGATAAGTGAAGTTGTCAACGCGTTCAACTACTTCACTCCCTATCCTTAGTTCAGGTGTTAACGGAGACCAGTCCTGAAGCAACAACTTGCATTTAGAGGGAGAGAAGCGCATTCCAAACATCCTGGCATTGTTGCTTAGTGCTACCAGAAGACTCTGCATTTTGTCAGCGTCTTCACCAAACAGGACTATGTCATCTGCGTATTCTAAGTCGATAAGTGGACCTCCTGGTAGGAGATCAATACCCGAGAACTCAGTCGACGAGAAAGTTATTTCCATCAGTAGATCTATGATGAAGTTAAACAAAAATAGGAAAGTGGACAGCCTTGACGGACACCACTCGAGGTTGCAAAAGTAGATGACAGTTCGCCATAAGCTCTGACTCGACTAGTATTGTTCGAGTAAAGAGCCTTCACAAGGTTTATGTACTTCTGAGGCACACCTTTCAATGACAAGCACTGCCACAGAACCTCTAGGTCTGCAGAGTCAAATGCTGCTTTTAGATCAAGAAAGACCACCATTGTCGGATGCCGATAAGTATGCCTGTGTTCTAGAACTTGATGAATGGTGAATATGTGGTCGATGCAGCCACGACCAGGTCTGAAGCCAGTCTGATTTCATGTGTTTGTAGTTCGCGAGTCTTAGTTAGGCGTCAGATAATTATTGAGGTTGGCATTTTAGATACTATATTAGTTAAACTAATCCCTCTATGGTTGTCACAGGACGATTTTGATCCCTTTTTATATATCGGGACAATAAGCGATTGCGACCAGTCAGGTAGGATTACGTCCAACTCCAAGACCTCCGGAGTTAGTCCATTTGCCCTACCATGTTTCAGATTAGCCATAGGCTTATGAGCTTCAACTAGAGTCGGGCGACCTACTTCAATGTTCCATTCACACTGTCTGAAAATGGTGGGTAGCTTTAGAGTAGCTGAAGGTCAGCTGAACTGCTCCTTAAAGTGTTCCGCCCATCGTCCTAAACGTCTGGACTGGGAGCAGATAAGTGCGTCGTCTTTTTCCGAGACAGTCTCACACTTCAATTCTTAGTTCCAGTTTCTTTTATGAGTGTGAAGAGCTGTCTGGTGTTACCTACAGCCGCCACCTTTCCCATCTATTTTGCTTTCGTTGCCCACCACTGCTCACGGTCGTTCTTTAGACTTTAGGTTCACCTAGATCTGATTTGCTTTCGCCCATCATCGTGTTCAGAGCCTGATGGGATGAGTTTACGAGAATCCATCAGTGCAATAGACCTAGAAGAAATCCATTGGCTTTTGTAACCCTTTGGTTTAAATCACTAATACATGTCACTGCTGTTTCCACATGTTTGTATATCTTTGCAAGCAACATCTGGGTTAACCTCGTTTTCTGAACTACCTAAGTGTGACCTCAGTTGTTCCTGGAATCTATTTTCAGCCTTCTCGTCACTTAATTCAATTCTAATGGGTCTTCTTGGTGTGGCTTCCCTGCGTCCAGTGAGGCGCAAGAAGATGCGTACCCGTATAAGAGCATGGTCGGAGTCCAAACAGGTACTCCAGAATAAGCGACAATCTTCTACCGACCCTCTCCAACGATGACTGGTGGCAACATGATCTATTTGAGTCCATCATTGGTTTGGTGAAGGGGGTCGCCATGTTAGACGATGTCTCTCCTTATGCTTAAAATTTGTGATTGCTAGAAATAAACGATTGTCTGAGCACAGTTGCAGCAGACGATCACCATTATCTTATCTCTGAGCCGGAATACCAAAATGCTCACCTAAATGTCCTTCTGTTTGGTTTAAGCTACCTACTTGGGCATTAAAGTCACCTGCTACAAGTACTATATCTGAGCGTTTAGCTTTCTGAAAAAGTTCAGAAAGCTTTCTATAAAATTTATCTTTCACTTCATCCGAGCTGCAGTCAGTGGGAGCGTAGGCAGAAACGACGAAAAGGCAACGACGCGTGTCCCTGTCCTTTCGAGTTCTTATGGAGCCGTCAAGCCGAACAACGCATAGACGACTGTTAACGGGGATCCACTCTAAAAGTGCTTGTTCTGCCCTTGTACTTAATGCTATGCCCACACCTGCCAGCCTTTGGGTCGCCAGATACACGGAGGGTGTATCTAGTCGGCTCTCCGTTTTGCCGAGGTGAGGTCAAGCGAATGACCACACTAGGATCCTATATGCGTGTTTCGGAGACACAGCATACATAAATTGTACGGGATTCTAGAGTCTCAGCCAAGGACGCCTGCTGGCCGATTTGACAGGATGTGTACGTTGAAGGTTCCATCGTGTAGTTTGGAGCGAGGTTTCAGTATACCTGGGACTGTTTTGCGCACTAGAATCGTTGGCCATGGTGATACTTGAGGAGGAAGCCAAAAGAGGAAGTTAAGTGTTGAAAGTCGACGTAGGAGGAATAATAGGGACTGAAGAAATAAGTTGATTATGAATATAGTGGTCTTCAGTGTTGTTAGAGATGTGAGGGCCGTTATAACTTTCCGGTTGCCCACACCGTGGAAGGGTTCTTCTGAAGGTACCTGAAAAGGAAATTGGATTAGAGGTGATCTTAATGACCAGAGAGCGTGATCACAGTGCCAAAGGGACAACTTCTTGAGGTCGGCCACACACGACCTTTTTGTGAGTAATTTTTGTGTTAGCTCCGTACATGTTGAGACCTTACCGCCGGAGACGGATATTCGTGGGATAAGCGAGGTCTGCATTTTTAGAGTCGACCTTTTTTAACCCCACTCCTCCTTGTGGGAAGGCAGTATCGCTGTCATGCTGGTTGTCCTAAGGAAACACCTTACTTCTGTCACACCTATGTACAGTCAGCAGTACGACTTCGCCTTCGTTTTGTTGCTTTTAGTCTTACCGCTCTTCAAACGACCTGTCTGACATGGTAGGACCTTGAGAAACGGTTGTTTCACCACGATAGGCAAGCCCGACCACCACGTCAATGCAGCAACAACGATCACTGAAAATTGGTCCAAGATGAAAAGTGACCTTAAATTTCTTGATTTGTGGATATACATGACAAGTCTGAATTCCACCATATTTAGATTTAAAATATCCATTTGAGAGGAGGAAACATTTGATCTGTAGATAAAATAACAAAATGAGTACTGTTCAGATACAATAATATTGCCGGCTTAATTTCGAACTGTTTCTGAAATTTGCTAACCTGTGACACTTCATGCAAAAAACAAAGTCACTCTCATTCCTAACATTTACTTTCGTTTATCTGATTAGTAGATCAATCTTAACATATAAAGCCGTCCAACAAAATGATGGTTAATTATGATATTAGTTGGGAAAACAAACAGGAAATTAAGTTCGACTTTTTGATACTAAACACTGGCAGGTTAAAATAGTGGTGCAAGAGCAAGTGTTGGAAAAAAATATATCACAACTAGACGGAGAGAGCTGAACTAATAACCATTGATAAAAGATTTAATAAAGGAGAACGAGCTACAGTTTATATGAAAAAAAACGAAAGTCAGCGATATGACACAGTACTGAATATATCAAACTAAGTTTACATAGTGGAATAAAACTATGAACAGATTTTCCCTCAAGGTATTCGAGAAAATAGATTGTTTAAGATATTCATAAAATTTAAGTAAGTAACCTTCTATACCCATTATACCACCCAAGAAGCATGCAGGCTAGATGCGACCATTTGGGACCAAATATATGGACAGTATTTTTGTGTTCTACAATTTGTAATAATTGCAAAATGTGAGAAGCGAGAACACATTGCATTCTTTTTTGATGTTCTGCAGACGAAAATCTTAGTTGTCAATTAGATAGTTTTCAAATTCTATTAAAGTATTTATACAGATGATTGTTTTCATAAGACTATAATTATGAGTTAATTAGGGCAAGCGCGATTCGGGAACCACTCTACGGAAAAAACTTACGGAAGAAGGGTATGGCTGTAGAACGTCTTTTGCTTAAGGTGGCTTAAACAAATCCACGTTGAAGCTAAAACATATTTCTAATGGTAGAAAGACGTAACTCCAACCATCCTTAATTTGATATCAAACCTATTTAAAATTTATCCAATTTTAAACATGAACTGATCCTCTTATGAAGTTCTGTCCCATAGTGCACCTGAAGAGACTACTACTTAGTTATCCTACTTTAACATATTTTTACTAAACTTTGTTTTACGGACAATGGTCACATCGATTTCAATAATCCTACAAAGTGCTAATTCAATATTTCTCAGTAAATATTTTACAGTATTGATACCAATGCACTGTTGATACATTGGAGACATCAACTAAAACAGCTGCAAGCATGATCAGTTTTTCAACAATCTAGTGAATAACCTAGCACCATGATATCGGAGGTCGACCTTAAATCCCTAAGTAGATGCTGGTACGTACGAACTTCTTTAGTCGACACACATCTCAGCAAAAACTATTTTGCCCCGCGATTTGATAACGTATGTGTGAAGTTGAATATCCAAAATTATAAAAAATGAGTTATGCCATCGCGAATACATTCCCAAATAAGACTATCAACAGTCGGCATTCCGCTCTAAAATATCCAGTGGAACTTAGAAATCAAAACTTGAAATCGGAATCCGCAAGGTATAACCTTAATTAATTTGGTTGCTGCACCCCACAGTGGGTACTCACTCCGAAGACATCACCAACAAAAGGATACGTCGTACTGCACAAAAATCCATAGCTATTGCTGTGATCCTCTATAGCATTAAATGGTTAATGCTCAACTGCGCTAGGATGTCAGTTGTCCAGTCTAAATGACATTCTAGTAAAGATCGTAACTTGTCGAATCTCAAAATCGTCAGAGTGAAATGTTTTTACCATTCCAACTTATACTGGTGGGGACACATACCACAGTTCCGCAGATGAATATAAATTAGTAAAGAGATCTGTGACAGACTAGCCACCACAAGTGAGAAAATAGCATTCAGACGTAGTTCTTGAATAATAAATGTTTAGCATCATGCAAAAGGCAAAGCCAAGAAGTAATTTTTCCTGTTAGTGAACAAGAAAAGGCTTTAAATTGTCCCTTTCAAATGGAATACTATATCCATTAACGTGTTGGTTACTCACTTCACGAAACACTGGTAGTAAATATGATTAAGCGTTATTTGCAAATTATTTACTCAGGCACTTTAGGAAGTTATTCACATCTAAATATACTAATCCTTAATATATATTGATGCATATATATGTATATATTATAATGATGGAAGAATGCATCAACAAACAATACTAATTTATGAATGATGGAATGATGAACAATCGTGAATAAATTTAATGACTCAATAAGCTTATCAACGAAGAAATCTGAAACATAGCAGATGTCGTATATACGACAATTAGATACGTTTGCAAGCCATCAATATGTTGAACTACATGGTCTAAAACTAAAACTGACATTCCATTTGAGATTCTGCAATAATTAATATTATTGAAAAAAATGAAGATAACCCGGAGAAAAATTTATTATGACTGGTATTCAGTTGAGCACTGACTTTAAAACAGCAAATTTTGCATGGAGTTTTGACACCTAAAACAATAAACAAAACCTAGATATTTTTTAGAAGAATTTGAGTCATCAAATTTTCTAATAATCATTATAGAATAAAAACGGAAATTATCCTTGATCAGCTCACTGATTTCTTTTGCTCATTGCAACCTTGAGAACAAGAAGCCCTCCGAAGCTTCAGTCTTCAGTAATAAGGATAGTAGGTTGATGAACCTGTGTTAATCCTGACACATTGCTTTCCAGTGAAGATCCAGCTTTTCCTTGAAAGTATTCACTGATGGGGCTGATACCACTTGTTCGGGTAAGGCGTTCCAATGATTGACTACTCGATGAGAAAAACGGGATCCCACTTTAAGTTTATTAGATCGTGGTTTATGAACCTTCTTGCTATGACCTCGGAGATTATTGGTGCTGGAGGGAGCAAAAAGATAAGACATATTAACACCCAAATCATAATTAAAGATACGAAATGCCAGTATAAGGTCACCTCGTGTCCTACGATACGACAAGGGGAAAAGATTTAGGCGCTTTAAGCGCTCATCGTAAGGAAGTCTAGAAAGACCCTTCACTAATTTCGTTCCCACACGCTGGACACGCTCAAGGGAGTTAGTATCCTTTACTAGACACGGGCTAGCTGCTTGGATACAGTACTCTAAATGTGGTCTAACATATATGGGATATAAAATTCGAAACGTTTCCTCGTCAAAAGATTTGAACGCTCGGCGAAGTGACCATAACGCACGAAAACCTTTGACAGCGGCTGCTTTGCAATGCGCAGTTGTTTTTAAGTCATGACTTAATATTACTCCTAAGTCTTTATGCTCTTGAACGCATGGAAGAGGTTTACCCTCAATAGTGTAACGGTAACTATTACCGTGACCGACGTGCATTAGTACACTCTTCCTAGCATTGATTTCTAAGCCCCACTCTCGAGCCCATCCAACTAAATCGTCTAAGTCAGCTTGAAGATCCAGATGATCAGCCGCACTTTTTATTGTTCTCCAGATTTTTACATCATCTGCAAACAATAATGTTGACGACCTAAGTAACAGTGGTAACTCATTAACGTAGAGAAGGAAGAGCAGAGGGCCTAAGATGGTGCCTTGGGGTACACCACTTTTGACCGGCTTCCAATCGGATAGCGTTCCATTGACCCTAACTCTCTGTCTGCGGTCACATAAGAAATTTCCTATCCACTTATGTACAGTACCTATTAATCCGAAGCTCGTGAGCTTCTGCATAAGACCTACGTGTGAAACCTTGTCAAACGCTTTGCTAAAATCTATGAATATCACGTCGACAGACAGACCGTGATCTAGGGCTGCTGTCCAATCCTCCCTCGCAATAAGCAAGTTAGTCAAGCAAGAACGCTTGTTACGAAATCCGTGTTGCTCAGGAGCTAACAGATTGTGTGAATCTATGTGGCTTAGCAACCTAACCCGAATTATCTTTTCGAGTAACTTAACGACTATGCTAGTTAGACTGACAGGCCGGTAGTTAGATACTATCTGTCGCTGACCGTCCTTAAATATAGGACTAACTATAGCGTCCTTCCAATCTCTAGGGAGTTGAGCGAGTGAGAGGGACATGTTGAAGAGTGTCGCAAGCGGTTTTGAAATAATGTCCGCAAGAGATGATAGCAACCGTGGATGTAACCCGTCAGGGCCCGGTATCTTACCAGGTTTGAGGTTAGTTATCAACGGAAGGACAGTTTCCTCAGTCACCTGTACAGATTCAATGGTTGGTATCTCGGTGTGAGTGGGACAAGTATTTGTTACAATAAACGTAGAGAAGACTTCGCTAAAATAATCTGAAAAAGTCTCAGCTTTTGCTCGATCTGATTCAGCTAGTAATTCTGAATTTTCGTGTAACAGCAACGGGGGAATACCATCACTACGTTTCATTTGCCGTTTAACATACGAAAACAATCGTTTCGGACAAGTACGGCTATCATATACTAACTGTCGTTCGTAAGTGGTACGGGATTTCGCTATGGTTTTCTTACAGATATTACGGTATTTTTGATACTCACGCTTAAATGGTGCATGACCTGTCAACAAGAATAAGTCCCAGAAATGTTTCCTACGCTTTAACAGCTTCCGGGTTTCCTTATTAATCCATGGAGGGCAATGTGATAGCTTACGTGCTGACCATGGGATAAACGGCGACGTTACGGACTCGAATGTAGCCTTAAACTTATTCCATTCATCTTCGATCAATCCATCCGCGTCGACTGACCAATCGGTCAAGATAGCACGGTTTCTGATTTCCGGAATATTAGCTCGCCAGATATTGGGACGGGGTGGAGCAGATACGAATTGTATACCATGCGTCCTAAACTTAAAGTGAATTACAACGTGATCACTGTTCACTAGGGGAGGAAGGTGCTGGATATCAAAGACATCCTCAGAGTGGTGGGTGAGGGCGAGGTCCCGGAGGTATTCGCTACATTTTCAACTCTTCAAATGATTGTTGCTCTAATAAAGCTTTCGCTCAACAGACTTCTATATCTAGCACCAGTGGACCATCGATAATTCCAGGTAGTTAACTTAGTATATTCAATACTTGAAAAATCTTCAAAAGTTTCAAATGGTTGTGGACTAAATAGAAGAAGCTTTCGCTTAACAGGCCTCCGTGTCTAGTAGCAGGGGATCACCAAAACCTCCAGGCAGGAACCTAGGTATGTTGACAATAAAAGAGGAAAAGAAATTGGTAAATCATAGTGTGATGCTGTCCTTGGTCTTTAAGAATAAACCAAGTTATCTCTTAAAGGACTCCTGCGAAGTCGCTTGGACTACCTCGGTTCAAACAGTTATGGACTGATTAGAAGAAGCTATCGCTTAACGGGCCTCCGTGTCTATTAGCAGGGGGTCACCAAAACCTCCAGGCAGGAACCTAGGTATGTTAACAATGAAAAAGGAAAAATAAATTGGTAAATCATTGTATGATATTATCCTTGATCCTTATGAATAGATCAAGTTGCCTCTTAAAGGACTCCTAGGAAGTCGCTTGGGCTAGCCCGGTTGGCAGCGAATTCCAGCATTTCACAACTCTTAAGGAGTAGAAGTTGTGTCCACAGTCCGTTCTGCCAAGTTGTATCTTCAATTTCTGGGTGTTATCCCTTAGGTTAGTGTTGTAACTAAGCTTAAACAGGTGTTTAAGAGGATGTCCAGAAGTGTTAAGGATACTGTAAGCCATTAGAAAGTCACCTCTAAGATGCCTATACTCTAATAGGTAAAGGTTAAGTTATTGGAGGCGCTCTTCATAAGTTTTAAATTTGAGTCCTCGAACTGATTTCGTGACTCGCCGTTGGATACGCTCCAGATTGTTCTTCTCCTTTTGGAGTGAGGGAGGAAATACTATGTTTCCGTACTCTAAATGGGGACGGATGAAACTACCGAAGATTATATGGAAAGTTCTTCTGTCAAACTGACCAAAAATGCGCTTCAATGTTACCAGTGCAAGGTTTGCTCGGAAGTCATTTTTGTCACAGTCAGCGTAAGACTTTAAATCGTTGGCACCAGGACTCTAACATCTTTTTCGACTCGGGATACTACTAGAAAGGAGTTTCCCAAGTTGTAACTGTAGTTTGCGACATGTCGCAGATGGACTACTTTACACTTTGAAGCGGTAAAGGTAAGTCCGTTATCGTCTGCCCAACTTTGAAGTCGAGTCAGATCCTCCTGACGTGCCTGTATATCGTCTTGGTTGCGTATCTCTCTTCAAAGTTTCACGTCGTCGGCATAAAGTAATAAGTCTGACGTTACCTGTTGAGGAAGATCATTTATGTAGATCAAGAAGAGAAGAGGCCCTAGTACTGAGCCCTGGGGGACCCCACTAGGACATTCCATAGCCTGAGATAAAGTGAAATTAACCCTGACTTTAAAATTTCGATTTTTCAGGTATGATCTGTTGGTATGAAGAGGTGGTCTGATACCTAATCGTTTGAGCTTATCGATAAGACATGTATGGTTAACCTTATCAAAAGCTTTTGAGAAATCTAGGTACATGATATCACCCTTCCCCTTGCGATCGAGGATGCTCGTCCATCTGTCCACCGTAGTCAGCAGGTTGGTAATACAAGAGTAACCCTTCCTGAAACCATGCTGTTGGGGTGGGAAGAAATTTAAAGACAGTAAATAGTTATTTATACCATCGCATATCGGGGACTCCATGATTTTTGAAGGTATTGAGAGAAGAGCCACCGGTCGGTAACTTGAAGATTTGCTGCGTCGACCTCCTTTGAAAATTGGTGTAATGTGAAACAGCTTCCAATTTTCCGGTAGTTTTCCTCGACTAGGCGAGTGTGAGAAAATCACGCTAAGCGGCGTTGCCAAGACTGATGCTGCTTCGCTCAGTACGGCAGAATGGTCCATATCCGGGCCAGGAGAAGTGTCTATTCTTAAGGGCTGCAGTTCCCGGAACACCAAGTCAGCGCTCAGGTTCACTAGGGAAATTTCTTGGGAGTTGCAGATGAAGCTTTCATCAGTATAGTTGATGTGGGTTGGTTGAAATGTCCGAGAGTATTGATCAGGTTAAAGGTTAGTGGCGTCGCCGTCGTTGTTGGTTGGGCTGTTAGGACCTAGCAGTTGGGAAACTCCAGTTTTGGCTAAGCGAAGAGAGGCTGCATAACGTAATAAGCTTTTCGGATTAGAGACAAATTTATCCATAAGCTTTGTCTGGTACTGAAGCCTGTCTTCTCTTATAAACTCTGTGCATATGTTCCTTATATGTCGTCAGTTCGTCTGTACTCTGCCCAACAATGCCTTTTGCGGCTGAGCAGGCGAAGACTGCGGTTCTTTATGATTGTGGGTTGCTGATAGGTATGGGCGACCTTTTGAGAAACTGAATGATTTGTAGCATATATAATGATTGAAATTTGACGCAAATAGCCCCTTCGATAATTTGCTTTCTATTTCCAGTCCATTTGACCCTTTATTTTTGTATATAAATGGTCTCAACGGGTGTATGTGTGATCAGATTGTTTGAAGTGTATTGCGCTATTACATTGCATATTTCTGAGAATCTTATTTCACTAACGAAATATATGATTATCCCTTTCATAATCTTTTGAAAAACTAAGGTATATGACATCGACGTTCCTCCATCTGCGCAGTAGGTTGCGAGTACAATAGTGAAGCTCCGTGAAACCGTTCTGTTGGGGTGAAAGGAAGT